AAAAACTGTGGTCTTCAATTGCTAAACATTTGATTATTCTCAGACTACGGCTATTTTTTGAGATCTCATGGCATCAGCCTGGGATAGTCTGTAACACTCTTGCCTCTGAGTGAGTAGATTACGGTATCAAGCTACATGTTGGGACTCTTCAGTTTACCCTCCAGTGACCCTCCAGTGCAGTGCTTGTGGAGCCCCGCAATGTTCGAGGTGGCTTCCTTCAGATGAGATGTTAAGCCAAAATCCCATCTGACAGTTCAGTTGGACTGTAAAGATCGTATTTCATAAACAGCAGAGATCAGAGAGTTTCTCACGATCTTCTGGTGACAATCCTCCAGATAAAATTGTGCAAGATGTCTGTCTGTCTCTCCCACCCCCCCCCCCCCACCCTCCTTTCTTGGATTGATGATAAAGGAGAGAAAAGTAACAAATCAAGTTTAGTTGCCAAATAGATCACAATGAGTGAGAAAGCGAGTTGATGTGCATGAGGTTTTATGTTTTTGAAAAACAAGGATAATATTGTGTTGTATTTCCCAATAAAGACCTGATATAATCAGTACATTTAAGCCAAACTAAACAATAAAAGACCAACAAGGAATCACACACGAGTGGGGATGGTGTACAGGGTTAAAGGAGAAATACTAGATTACAGAACACTAACAGCTAGTAGAGAACATATACTGTCAAGAGGAGACCTACAGCCCCACCTGAACCCCCTCCTATCAAAGATCCAAACTGATATTGAACAGAACCTAAATCTGAAGGCAAAATCTGCAAATGCTGGAAATCTAAAATAGAAACAGAAGTCGCTGGGAACACTCAGCAGTTCAGGCAGCATCAATGTAGGGAGGAAAATCAGTTAACATTTCAGGTCGATGACCTTTCGTCAGAACCTAAATCGGTGCATTTCAAACTCTCAATGGCTGCTCCTCTGCTCTGGTACATCCAATAATTGCTTCCTTCACCCTTCAAAAAGTAATCCCTCCAAAAATAATTTGGTAATTCGCTCACAAAATATACAGTCAATTGATTTTACAGTATATTTTGTAAAGCGATTTAAGATGTCTCAATGATGTGATACGGTGCTATATCAAATGCAAGGATTATTTGTGGAGTCCTGTAGCTCAGTAGTTAGAGCACTTCCCTTGCAAGGGAGACACCTGGATTCAATTCCAGGCAGGGCGAAACCTTGGGCAAGTTTCCTTACTCCACACGCCTAATAATCCCTCAACAAAAAACAATAATAAATTGGTCATTTTCAATCCACGATTGTCTGTGGGACACTTCTATGCGCAATTGGCTGCCGCGTTTCGCCCACAAATATACTGTCAATTTACTTTACAGCATATTCTGTGAAGCGCTTTGAGACATCGAGACGACCTGAAAAGCCCTATATTAAATGCAAAGATTATTATTATTATATTATTACCCTATACAGATGATAGATATGTACTTGATGTGCATGAAGGTGTCAGAGAGCGTACAGGCAAGAGGAGACCTACAGCCCCAACCCCCTCCTACCAAAAATACCAAGTTGATATTGAGCAGAACCTAAATCTAAAGGCAAAATCTGCGGATGCTGGAAATCTGAAATAAAAACTCGAGGTGAGACATGAGCTTCACAAAATAAAAATCGCCTACCTTCATTTCAAAAAGGCAGACGCTGGGGGCTGATAAACAAACAATCAAATGAGCGTAAGGCCTTTCTTCATCCAAATTGACCTTGTGAACCACTTACCTGGAGGGGTGTGCTGCCACCTAGTGGTAGCTTGCACCAACATTAAATAAGAAAAACCTCAATTTTTCCTGTATAGCGCCTTTCACATGCAAAAAAAATATTAATTATTAAGGGCTGACACTAAACTAACACTCATAAATTAGCGGGAGGACTTCCCAAAAGGCTTCATAGGATTTACTGTAAAGTACAATGACTGTGTTTTGTGAGCAAACATGGCAGCCAATTTGTGCACAGTAATGCCTCACAAACAGCTATGAAGTCAATAATCAATGTTATTTGAGGATTGTTCACGAGGACACTGGGAGAAACTCCCTTAAAGTGTACTATGGGATCTTTACTGCACATCTGAACAGACAGATGGAACCTTGTTTTAATATCTCATCTGAAGGACAGCACCTCGAACAATGCAGCAAATCCTTGGCTGGGAGACAGAAAGCAGAGAGTGGTAGTAAACGGTTGCTTTTCTGACTGGAGGGAGGTGTGTATTGGTGTCCCTCAGGTGTCGGTATTGGGACCACTGCTCTTTCTGATCTATATTAATGATCTGGATCTGGATATAGGGAACATAATTTCCAAATTTGCAGATGATACTAAGCTAGAAAAAGTAGTTAATGGTGAGGAGGATAGCACCAGACTCCAAGAGGACTTAGACAGATTGGTAAAATGGGCAGAAACGTGGCAGATGAGGTTTAATGTGGAGAAATGCAAAGTGCTGCATTTTGGTAGGAAGAACAAGGAGAGGCAGCATAAGCTGATGGTACAATCTTATAGGGGAATGAACAGAGAGCAAATCTCTGAAGGTGGCAGGACAGGTAGATAAAGCTGTTAAATAAGCATACGGGATAAAAGCATAAAACTAGGTTTTATAAATAGGGGCATAGAATTCAAAAGTCAGGAGGTTAAGTTGAATACTTATAAAATGCCGGTTAGGCCTCAGTTGGAGTACTGCGTTCAGTTCTGGGCACCGCACTTTAGGAAAGATGTTAGGGCATTGTAGAGGGTGCAAAGGAGGTTTACCAGGATGGTACCAGGAATGAAGAACCTTAGTTATGAGGAGAGGTTAGCGAAACTAGGATTATTCTCCCTAGAGCAGAGAAGATTAAGAGGGGATTTAATAGAGGTTTTCAAGATCATGAGAGGATTTGATAGGTTGAACTGGGAAAAACTGTTTCCACTGGCATGTGGGTCAGTAACCCGAGCACATCGATTTAAGATAGTTGTTAAAAGAAACAGAGGCGAGGTTAGGAAAATTCTTTAACCCAGCGAGTTGTTTGGATCTGGAATGCATTACCTGAAAGGGTAGTGGAAGCCGATTCAATAACAACTTTTAAGAGAGAAGTAGATGGGTATTTCAGGATTGCAGGGCTATGGAGAGAAAGTGGGCCAGTGGGATTTAGTTGAATTACTCTTTTTGGAGCTGGCACAGACATGATGGGCCGAATGGCCTCTTTCTGTGCTGTATGATTCTATGAGCCCCACCACTGCACTGGAATGTTAGCCCACGCTATATGTTTAGTTGGTACAAGATATATTTTTATTGTCATTATCATGTAACAGCAGTTTCCTCTAAACTGAGAGTGGTAAGTAAAACAGCTTATTTTAAATGGTCAGTATCGTCTGACTAAGTCTACCATCGGTTATCTTAATTTACTGCTGGTGATAAAATTCATTGTAAAACACTGGATTAATAGAACAGCATTAATTATGTGCTCGTTTAGTTTCTAAAGTAAAAATGTGAAGCCAACTGGGGACCTGTTTGTAGAAGCATCTCACATCAGGCGTAAAGAATCTGTGAAGTGAGTGTAAATTGACATAATGTACCCAATAGCATTTTTCCACTGAATTCAAATATACCAGGTCAGTACACCTCCCCTCCACAGACACACACATCTGTTAATGGAGAGAACCAAACTTGCTTTCTTTAATATTCTTCAAAAACTACATATTCTATTAATTTGCATTGCAAATGTCACTTTGAATGGCTTCAAATAAGAAATTTTGACTTAAAAGGAAGGTCAGTAATATCACAACAAGTTGCATTTATATAGCACCTTTCACACAGGGCAGCACCTGCTTAGAAATGGCATAGTTTCACACGAGAAAGGGAGGTATCTCTAGACATGATCAAAGAGGAAAGTCTTCCAGTCTGATCTGAAGATGGGCAAGGAGGGAGCAAGGCAAAGGATTGAGGCAGAGAATTCCAGAGGATTGGGACATAGTGGTTGAAAGCATAGCCGCCGATGATGGAGCGGTGAAGTCGAGAGACCTGCAAAAGGCCCGAGCTGGCTGAGCAAAGGGAGTGGATAGAGGAGAGGGGGTGTGAGCAGAAAGCTTCAAAACATATGAAGACTTATGAATATTTCAATTAATTGGGGCTCTGTGCAAATTATACACTGTCTGCTGCGTTTTTGAGAAAGCAGCTGCTCATAGATCCTTTGTGTGATAAGCTCTGTGTTATATCAGAAAGTGGCCACACGGTGGCAGATACGACTGATTTGTACTGAAAGATATACATTTACATGTGTATCTACTGTACAGTATTGGTGTAACCAATATTCTAGAGGCAGAAATCCTGTGAAGTTCTTCTTTTGCATTATATCCTTTTCTCACTTACTCTGCAACCAAATACCTTCATTGATGCTTTCAACGTAATAGGCTATGCACGTCCATTGCCCCCCTCCCCCCCATACTTAAATCATCAAATCTGAAATCTTCAGATCACACTTGAAGACTTTCCTCTTCGACCATGCCTATGGTCGCTTCCCATTTCTCTGTGACTCAGCATCAAACTTTGCCGTTTTTGGCGTCTCAGAGTGCTTTACAACTCTGAAACTCTTATTGCATATATAAATAAAAATTGTTGTTTGCTGTTGTCCTCACCAGGCTCCATGAGGTCCCAGTATTCCAATTGATTGACTTCAAGATCCTTGTCCTGATTTCCAAATCCTTGCGCCATCTTATTTTTGCAACCTTGCTATTTCTTTCACTGCCTTTAAAACATATCTCTTTGACCATATCCTTGGTGAACGCCTTTAAATTCCCTCTCACTGTTCAGGGATCCTCACCGTTTTTGTGAAGTGCTTCCAGATGCTCATCCAATGTGAAAACTCCTGTATAGGTGCAAGTTGTTGTGTAAAAAAAAGGTAATTAAGAAATTCATCTTAATATTTTTTCATACATTAGATTTAATGCTAAAGGCATAATTAATCATATATTTGAATGAAACTAAACATGACTATCAACAATTGAAGACTATTTTCTCAGATTTTTATATTTATTGATATTATTTAATGTGAAAAATGCGGTATGTTTATTCCCCAGAAATGAAAACAACTATTTTAAATGCACAATAATATGGTGAAGGATCAAAGCACAAGTGTTTCAAAACCCTTTCTTAATGAATTAATGAATGGTTAGTACACAGGACAGAACAAGCACATTAACAGCAGTTACAAAGCAGATCATTGGGACTTAATGACAAGATCTCTGTTGCGTAAAGCTAATAATTATTCGGCTGGGCGAGACCCAGTTAAGTCCTTATTAATGTACCCTTTTTAATATGGAAAAATAAGTTGTCTAGGAGTCAACCCACTGTGAGCTGTTTATAATACAATTAAGTAACACCAAAGGGATTTGATTCTTTCACCTTTTTTACAGTGTCAGAAATTATGTGCAGAAGGTTGTGAAGACATGAAATGTTCTACTTCAACTAGTTGTTGAGGCGGAATCAATAGGGATGATGGAACAGGCTTGATGGGCTGAATGGCCTCTTTCTGCTCCAGTTTTCCTAAGTTTCCCTAGAACATAACTTGTTTTTGAAACCACAAGCACTGCTTAAAGGTGGGTCTGATGAGCGCATTAATTTCAACTGCTGCCTGACGTACATCAAAGTGGCTTGTGAAAGACTGAAACAGCAATACTGCCAAAAGCTGTGAATTGTTGGATACTTTGTTTGTTTGTCACTCAGGTTACAACCAGGATTTTAAAAAAGGCTGATCTTGTATTTGATGTTAAATGATAGTCCCTTCCCCCCAAACATATCTCAATGAATTAGGTCAGGTTTGTGGAAGGGTGGAGGGATTGATTCTGTTTTTATTATGTGGAGGGAGGAGCTTCTCTCTCATCAGAAACACTCTACAGTTTCCAAACAAACACCGTTTCCAAACAAACAAACTTCCAGATAAGTATTACTGGTAACAGCTAAGTAAATAATAGAAGATTATCATTAATTTGCATTATGTTCTGTGGCTCCCCCGTTATAAAACTGGGAGTCACACTGTCATGTACTTTAGGAACTCAGTTGCATTACATATCTCTGGTATTAGAACGTTTTGCTTCATAAAGGAATGTGTAATTGATTTCTGGACACCAACTGTGCAGACAGACATAAACGTTTAAACTGTGTTGCCTGGTTGTCGGAGAAACATGATCTACTGAAATATTTCAAGTTCTGCACCAAGTTTCCACATAAGGATTCACTCAAGAAATGGGATACAGTTCATGGATTGGCACAGAACCATTCCCTTTGCATGTTGGATTGATTTTTCCACTTGGGAAGCTCAATCATACGTGGACTTTGTTAGTCACGTGCGACCACTCGCGTGGCCACTGCAGTCTGTCCCATTGGGTTTTGAGCTGAGCAGATGTAATCCCCTATATCAATTGTTTCAATGTCATCAATGTAAAGAACACTCTGTGACAATCTGGTGGTGTGGCTCCCATCCCGGTTTATTAGTCTCCATTTGTCTGTGATAATCACTGGCCTTTCATCCTGTTAAAATAAAACTGAGATCAGCCGGTCCATTCAAACAGCAAAAAGAAACAGTAACTTGCATTTATAAAGAAACCATTATAAAAATATAATGATACATTTTACTATCTATTTTTGGAAATGCACATTTATTTAGACATTTCTCCTCTTGCCACGTATTGTGGCATTGAAGTAAAGGTAGACAGGAACTATTCCATTTGCCAATATTTCCAATGTTGCTGCAGCTGGTTGTTGGTGCTCTGGAGTAACCTCACTTACAATAATAATAATATTTGATATAGCGCCTTTCACATTGTGAGGACGGCTCAAAACATCTTGTAGGTTATATTATGAAGTATATTAACTGTGTTTTGTAAGCGAACGTAGCAATAATTTGTGTAAAGCAGCTGGCAGCCATGTTTTCCTGAAGACCCATTAGAATGTGGTGTGTGATTTTTTTTGAATTATAATGTATTATAACGCGTGTTGCCCTGCAGCTCCAGGGGATCCACACAGTTTACAACTAACATCACTGTGTCTAGTCTACTGTTTGCAGTCTTTCAAAATTCATTAGAGATAAAGTGAAAGATTGCAGATGCTGGAAATCCACAGCAGGTCAATCAGTATCTGATAAGATTATGATTCAGATACGAGCTTGTGTTATAAGTGGTGTTCTAATGAAAGGTTTCACCTCAAACGCTAACCTAGTGCTTTCAGATGCTGATTGACCTGTTATTTATTTTTATTTTCAATCCTTTGTTATTCCTTTCTTTTCCCCCTTCTTGTATCTGCTCCTCTGTGGGCTGTTGTGTGCTGCACTTTATTTTGGTGAAAGCACTGAAAGACATGGAGAAACTGTGCGAGTGAACCCACGGTCAAATCAGAGATTTCTCACAGTCTGGTGCATACTCCAGCACCTCAACTTCCTCTCAACGGGGAAGGTGCTATACCAAATGTAAGCATTATTATTACTTCAGTAACTGATGATTTACGCATCATTGTAATCTATTTTGGTCAGCCAGGTATCTGACACGTGCGGAAACCCATCACTATGCTTAAGTGGAGTCCTGTAGCTCAGTGGTTAGAGCACGCGCTTTGCAAGTGAGAGACCTGAGTTCAATGCCAGGCAGGGCGAAACCTTGGGCAAGTTTCCTTACTCCACACGCCTAATAATAATCCCTCCAAAAACAAAAACAGTAATAAATTGGTCATTTTCAATCCATATGACTGTTTGTGGGACATTGTTGTGCGCAATTGGCTGCCCCGTTCGCCCACAAGTATACAGTCAATTCACTTTACAGTGTGTTCTGTGAAGCGCTTTGGGATGTCCTCCCGACGTGAAAAGCGCGATTTCAAATGCAAGGATTATTATTAAGAGTATCCAAACCAAGTTGAGATTTCCATGCATCCCTCCTACGCATGCAAATTCCATAGATATGATGTTGGAATGCAAACTCTCTCCCTGAAGGGATACATCTTGCTTACCCAATTCCGGAAAGTATTAGGCACAAGCTGGCAAGAGCCAAGGCTTCGGGGCCCCAGAATGTGCGTTGGGGTACTGCTGGAGTCTAACCAGCTCAGCCCGCATAACTTGCCATTGATATCGTAATTTGGCAAGCTTCCCCACTGCTTGTCCAGCTAGGACCACTCTACCCATTAGGGCTTTGGCTTGCAGGGTTAACAGGAGATGAGTGCGATGAGTTCCTGACCCCAGTGACTGGTCTGCCCTCCAGGTTCTGCTGATGAGCCAGGCTGACTGTGCTGTCATCAGCAGTACCCTGGAATACTAGGGATCCGCCTGGCTCAGGAACTGGACTACTGAGACTGCTGAAGAGGGCTGGCTCGATTCCAATATTCAGTTGCCAGGCATGTCACCTTGGAGCCAGTTCAGCTTCAAGGAGACCCCTTCTCATCGTAACTGGCCCTCAAGAAGTTTTCCAATGCTTCCATCACTGTTGTAACTGTCTATTTAAATCATAGGGCAGTTTTTACAATGGCTGTCTTGTATTGACTTTAAAACAACTGCATGCACAAGCTTCCAGATGTACGTTTTTTGGAACGGTTTGCTTCAGTGCCTTGTGTTCCTCAGTGGCTGATATCTTCCTTGGGGGAGAGGTAAGTGGGGTTTCTCCTTGGATCTGAACTGGCTGCAGGTTAACGTTCTCGCCAATGGAATGTTAGAATTGAGTCAATCCTCTGTGGTGATCTGGGCTCCTGAGCCAGGTGGATCCATCGTACTCCAGGGCATTACTGATGACAGACCAGCCACAGCCTGGCTTGTCAACAACAACAAGATTATAAAAAGATTACATTTGTATAGTGCCTTTCACGTCGGGAGGATTTGTCAGCAGGATTTGGAGAGGCAGATCAGTTACTGGTGGCAGGACGTCTTCCCACTCAGCTCTTAACCCTGCAAGCCAAAGCTTTAATGGGTAAGGTGGTCCTAGCTGGTCAAGCAGCAAGAAGTTTGCCAAACAGTGCTTTCAATGGCAAGCTATGTAGTTTTAGTTGGTTAAATATTCATTACAGCCGACAGTAATAACTGAACAATTGTTTGACATTGCTATAGTTTTTCTTTTTATTCTCATATTTTGAGAAAAATATGGGGACACCTCTTTAATCTACTGATATATTCCAATCAGTTTACAAATAAGGGAGAAAGTTATTTAGTGAATTGATTAAAAATCAAACATGAAGGACTTACTGGCTGTCCTGGGTATTTCCAAGTAAACATCACCTGCACATCTGGTTCTCCAAGCACTTTACAGGTTACATTGAGTTCGTCTCCGTAGCTCACTTTGCTTGATGAAGTTACAATAGTTGTTGATGGAGGGCCACTAGGAACTGTACACATAAAATGCTGTTCATTACTGATTTTTGTGGCAGTTTGCCTGAAATGTCACACATCACAAAGTTAAGCTGCTCGATTCCATTGGAAAACTCTTTCAAACCAAACAGCAACACAATTTTTTTTAAAAATATGTTTTTCCTGCATAAATTGTGGCAGGAAAATACGCTTGTTTTAAATGCTTCTGAAATAATATAAAATTTGATGAAAGTTTTCCTTTCAGTTGCACTCTGATATTATTTAGTTTTCAATTTGCAGTTTTATTGGAATTTGGTGAATTACTTTGCCCTTCTCTTAAGCTACTCTACTGAAGATGCTCACACAGGCTGAGATTTGGTACCACAGGTCCTATCAGCCCTCCAGTACCTCGCCAAGTACTCACTTTGCATGTATGAGCCAAACCAGTGACTGTAGCAGGCCATTCAAATGTGGGATGGAATTTGTCATATCAAACGCTCTCTAATTTGCGATATGTACAAAACTAATTGTGTTTTCCAGAAGGCCTTGAAGTGCAAAATGACCAGAGAGAAAAACACCATTTCAGGGTGGTCATAATTCATATGGATAGGTGTGTGACCCTCGTGTACACACTAAGTTACATGCATACGCACAGCTCATACTCCTATACAAATGAGTATTGCATATATACACAGGGTTCATGCACATGGCTCATGCATCTACTATGTACATGTCAGTGATTAAGATCACATTTATTTCATGTTTAATATAGGGAGACTTAAGGATTTTTTACAACTCTTGACTTCATGTAGCCTCAGACAGAGGAAAACTAGGAAGTTTACAGCTGGATGTTAGAAAAATATTTGGCCAATCACCAGATTTCTCTTATTCTCAAACTATCTCCAGCCATTCACATGATATCTCCATCTTAAGTACTCACTTTACATCCTGCTTGGAGAAAGGGTGATAAATAGGAAGTTGTTGGCATTGACCTTAAATATTTTGTTTTTACTCTTCAATGTTTGAACAATACAACACAATTACAAACTTTTGTAAGCTGCATAAATATTTGTCAACTACTCAGGGAAAGAGGAAACATGTAAAGTTACTTTTAATACAAAACAGATAATGCTTCTTACTGCCGCTAAACAGCATGCGTAGTCTCGTGAATATATCGTAAGATATTTGTTATTACCTTCCACATAGAGAAGAAGATAGTTGTTTGATATTTGTGGAACCCCATGTAAAGCTGCCTTGCAGTATACAACCCCTTTATGTTCAGGTTGAGGCCGGTGAATTATAAAACCTTTCTTCGAAACGTAACTAATGTACGTTCCATCCACAGGAACTTCTTGTGGAGGCAGGTCCTGGTGCAGAGTGACTTTGGCTGAAGGGGTGCTCAATCGACAAGGGATTATGGAAGGTTTATCAGCTTGAAGATAGACAATTTCAAAGTAGCTGGCTGATGGCACGAATAATTCAGTCGGATCTGGGAACATTAAATAATTGGGATCACAATTACCTCCGTAGAAGGGTGTAAGATGGATATTGAGTTTGAAACAGTTTGTACACCCTGAACCATTGTAACCACTTGCCTTAATCCCTCTACCTTTCCTCTCTTTACTTGTCTTCAGATAACGCCTGAAGATTTTCCTCTTTAACTATCCCTATGGTCACCTCCCTTTTCTCTCTGGCTCAGCATTAAACTAGACCACTGATCAGCCAGCCAAGATGCTACTATCTCTGACATTTCAACACTCCTCACATCTCTTTGCCTCTCCTCTGATCGCCTCATCATCCTGGGCGACTTTAACCTACACTTCACCCCCTCCTGCTCCATCTCCACAGACTTCTCTTCCCTGCTCTCCTCACTCAACCTTTCCCTACACATAAACTCCCCCACTCACAGTCACGGCCACCCACTCGATTTGGTGATCACCCGGGGCCTCAGTGTCTCGGATGTCACTATTACCGACAAGGCCATCTCCGACCACTACTTCATCTCCTTCACCACCTCCACCCCCCTCCCCACCTCCACCAGACCCACCACCATCTTCTACCGCCCTTGGAAGAAGTTACCCCCACAATCCCTAACCGATGCCTTGGAGTCCTCTGAACTCCTCTCCCTCTGGCCTTCAACCCTCACCGACCCCTCTTCTCCTCTCTCCCTCCTCCACAATATCCTCTCCTCCACACTCGATACTCTTGCCCCCATCACTTCCCGCACTGTCTCCTACTCCCGCTCCTCCCCCTGGTACACCACCCACCTCCGCTCACTGAAATGCCAGGTGCGGGCTGCTGAGCGCACCTTTGTCAAATCCGGCTTAACGGTCCACCGACAAATCTGGCTGGACCTCCTCAAAATTTACCGCTCCACTCTAGCCTCGGCCAAGTCGTCCTTCTACTCCAGGATAATCCTGGAGGCGAAGAACAACCCCAGGCTACTGTTTTCCACCACATCCCGACTCCTCCGTCCCCCCCGCCACCCCGCGCAGGTCATCTCCTCCAACCTTCACTGCGAGGAGATGCTGGATTTCCTTGAATCCAAGATCAAGGGAATCCGCTCCGCGGTCACTTCCCCTCCAACTTCCACCCACCACCCACCCCTTCCCTCCCACACTCCGACTCCTACCCATCCTCCCCTACACACCTTCGTACCCGTTTCCCCACCCTCTGTCACTGAACTCATCCTATCCCTAAAACCAACCACCTGCTCCCTTGACCCCATCCCCACTCCACTCCTTATCTCCCAGCTCCATTTTCTTGCCCCACATATCACTGACATCATAAACCTGTCCCTCTCCTCTGGCTCTGTCCCCATTCCATTAAAAACTGCCATCATCACGCCCACCCTGAAAAAACCCTCCCTTGATGCGTCGCAGCTATCAAGCTACCGGCCCATCTCCAACCTCCCCTTTCTCTCCAAGGTCTTGGAAAGAGTTGTCGCCTCCCAACTGCGCTCTTTCCTCTCCACCCATTCTCTTTTTGAACCCCTTCAGTCAGGTTTCCGTGCTGCTCATAGCACAGAAACTGCCCTGGTCAAGGTCACCAATGATATCCTGACTATCTGTGACCAGGGCTCCCTCTGTCTCCTCGTCCTCCTCGACCTATCGGCAGCATTCGATACGGTCGACCACGCTATCCTACTCCACCGCTTGTCCTCCCACCTCAACCTTCAAGGCACTGTCCTTGAATGGTTTAGCTCTTACCTTTCCCACCGTCTTCACTTCGTCTCAACGAATGGCTTCTCCTCCACCCCCCGTACTGTCTCATGTGGTGTCCCTCAGGGCTCTGTCCTCGGTCCCCTCCTCTTCACCCTCTATATGCTCCCCCTCGGTGACATCATCCGCAAACATGGGGTTAACTTCCACATGTATGCGGATGACACCCAACTCTACCTTTCCTCCTCTACTCTCAACTCCACGACCACCGATGTCCTGACAGCCTGCCTGTCCGACATCGAGTCCTGGACGAGAGACAACTTTCTTCAGCTCAACGTGCGAAAAACCGAGGCCCTCCTGATTGGCTCACGTCAGCGCCTCCGCACCTCAGGCGCTGACACCATCAGCATCCAAGGCTGCACTCTCCACCTCTCAAAGCCAGTCAGGAACCTCGGCGTTTTGTTCGACCCTGAGCTGTCCTTTCTCCCTCACATCCGCACCACAACTGGCACCGCCTTCCATCACCTCCGGAATATCGCCAGATTACGGCACTACCTCACCCCTCACGCTGCTGAAACCCTGGTTCACGCCTTTGTCACCTCAAGGCTGGACTATGGGAACTCTCTCCTCGCCGGCCTTCCCGCCACCTCCCTCCACAAGCTGCAGGTCATTCAGAACTCTGCAGCTCGTGTACTGTCCCGCACCAGGCTTCGGGACCACATCACTCCCACCCTCGCTCGCCTCCACTGGCTCCCCATCCCCCAGAGGATTGATTTCAAGATCCTCATCCTCACCTACAAGGCCATTCACGGCCTTGCTCCCTCCTACCTCTCCAACCTACTATCCCCCTACCTACCTGCCCGTACCCTCCGTTCCTCTGGCTCCGGTCTGCTCCACGTCCCCCGCCCCAACCGCCCTACTATCGGTGGTCGGGCCTTCAGCCTCTCAGCCCCGAGGCTCTGGAACTCCATCCCCCAGTGCCTTCGCCTTGCTTCCTCCCTTTCCTCCTTCAAGGCCGGTCTCAAAACCTTTCTCTTTGACCGTGCCTTCAGCTCCCCTCTCGACTCTCTTCCTCCTCCTCGCTCCCTCCCTTCCCTCCCCTCACCCTGACCATTTCCCCCTCCTCTCTCCCTCCCTTCCCTCCCCTCACCCTGACCATTTCCCCCCTGCTCGGGTCATGACCCAAAATTTCCCCCCTCCTCTCTCCCTCCCTTCCCTCCCCTCACCCTGACAAAGGGGTCATGCAGCGCCTTGGGACGTCCTCCTGACGTGAAAGGCGCTCTATAAATGGAATCTTGTTGTTGTCTTGTTGTTGTACCCTGTGTGAAGGGTGCTATATAAATGCAGGTTGTTGTTATTGAATAAACATGATAATTGGTGAATGCTTAGTGGTATTCACAAACTAGATTAATTGTATTAATTACAACTGTGCTGGTGATCATAGAGAATATGCCTTTTGCATTCCCATAACAGTTGTTTGCTTTGCGCAGTTCTCTAAAAGGCTATTTCTGAATCCCCCAAAATGGTAAAGTCTGATAAAGGATCGATGGCCAAAATATCAGCTGGGGTGTGCACACTGGCCTTCTTCAACTTTGCTGATTTCATGATTTATAATTGGGAGTTTTGCAAATTTCACAATACAATCAAAGCGATCACCTTATTACATTAAACACTATGTAGCTCATTAAAACTTGCCTTTCTCAGAACACACATTATATTTATATGACTGTCATGGGTGTGAGAAAGGCATACATGTGAGTCAATCGCCTACAAATGTGCAATGAATACATGTGACAGAAACTTTGTGAATCACTTTGAGATGTTCTTGATGTTAAAAGTCACCCCATTCACAAAAACTCTGAGGGACTTTAGACTTTTTCAATGATATAGGTGCTATATTAAATGCAAGGATTATTAAATTATTAAAAATTGTATTGTATATTATTATTGTACCAATATTACTGGGTGATGAAAGGAGTAAGGTGGAAATCTAAACTACTGTAAAAATGGGAAACTTTACAGGTTACCTGTGAAGAAGATGTATGTTTTTCCCATTCTCAGGTCATCCTTACTGCACTCCAGCCCATCACACACTATTGCCCAACAGCTGTATTCTCCAGTATCAGCAGCTGTTGCATTGCTGAGCATTAGCTGACTGTATTTCTCCTGATGTTTAATGCTAAACAAGGTCAAAATAAAACATATGTTACTATTAAGCTTTGTATAGTTTTATCCAAGTTAGTACCTTCAGTGCTTAAGAAAAATGTTTCATCAATTTATTAATACGCTTTTGGATTTTTTATGCCGAATTGTTTACAGTCATGGAGTGAATCTCCAGGAAATTCAGTGTAACATCTTAATCTAATCATTCACCTGTGAGCAGGTGCATTCCACAGGTGACATCCCAATAGTTACGCAGTTACATGGAGTGGTACGGCACAGACACACCCTTTTGGCCCAATCGGTCTGCGCCAGTGCTCATTTCTACACAAGTCCCCACATCAAACCCCCACTTTTCCTATTGTCCTCTCCTATACCTCTCTATTCCTTTCACCCTGATATATTTTCAAGTGGAGTCCTGTAGCTCAGTGGTTAGAGCATTCGCTTTGCAAGCGAGAGATCTGGGTTTGATTCCTGGCAGGGTGAAACCTTGGGCAAGTTTCCTTACTCCACATGCCTGATAATAAACACTCAAGAAAAAAAAAACAATGATAAAATTGGTCACTTCAATCCACGACTGTTTGTGGGACACTGCTGTGCGCAATTGGCTGCTGCATTTTGCTCACAAATATACAGTCAATTAACTTTACAGTATATTCTGTGAAGTGCTTTGAGACGTCTAGAAGACGTGAAAAGCGCTATATCCAGTGCAAGGATTACTATTATGTTATTATTATTATATTCTCTCAAATACATTTGATGCAATATGCTTCAACCACAGGCATTTTTAACCTTTATGAAGGGATAAGGTTCAATCTAAAGACTTCTCCTCTGAAACGCCATTAAAATCATGTTTGGATCCCTCACCTGAAAGCAGATATATGACCTCCATGAGAATCTCTGAGCTACAAAGGTCTTCCATAGCAGCTCTGGGTATATAATGCCTGTGATAGATTGCTCAGGACTTTGTTACCTGGTTACCACCAGCATGAAGCTACAATCTACCAGTCCCTGATTCTGCAGCTTGCCAAAGCAGTGCACTGTGCAACCACAGTACTTACTGACCAAAGTGTTCAAAAAGTGCTCTTATCACTATGATGCTTTGTCTGCTATTGAACTCAAGGTTTTCATTAAGTTGAAAAATTAAAGATAATCAGAACGTTGATTTATTATTTCCCCAAATGGTAAAAGGTAATGTTGAGCCCTGACAGCACACTTACTCTTGTATAACGCAAACATCAGATCATCAAAAAACATCAGATCACCAAAAAAGTATAGGAAAAAAAAGGCCATTAAGAGCTTAGCCACGCTCAATCCTCTATCGACATAGGTTGGCAGCACTCTTGCCTCAGAGTTAGAAGGTTGGGGGGGTTCAAGCCCATGTGGGGTATTTGAGCTCACAGTCTAGGCTTCACTCCGGTGCAGTGCTAGAGACGTGCTACATTATTGGATGTGTGATTCTGTCCTTAGAATGAGACGTTAAACTGAGGTTGCATCTGTTTCTGTTTGTTCAGGTGAAAGTTAAAGAATTCACTGCACTGTTCAAAAAGGAGAAGGGAGTGTCCTCCCAGCATTTTGGCCAACAATCCCCCAAATAAAATTGATTATTCCCTTCATGGCTGTTTGGCAGGACATTGCTGTGTGCAAATTGGCATTTGGGCTACATCACATCAAATCTGCTATGAATTGTTAGAATTACCAGCGTTTAGAACAATCAAATGCAGAAAACATTATACACATGGGCATTGATTTGCTGTTTATGATTGTAATGCACTACATATTATCTTTACCTTAATCTGGGATCCTTGAAGTCATTGAGGTGAGCTGGATAAGACCATCCAATATTGCTACCCTTACAGCGAAGTTCCACTGTCTTCCCTGCAGTTAGAGTCAGTGTTTCTCTTGGTTTACGAAACTGTCCTTTAGCCATCACCTGTGTCATAATGAAGATGATCTTCAGGCTCTTCTCCAGATAACCTCTCTCCTTTCCAGTCTTTGCAAGCTGCAGATTCATCTTCTTACCTAAAGCTCGGTTTCTATTTGCTGCCACGTTTTGTTTCATTTTTGCATTCTGCTGGAGCCCCCTAAAAGCTGCCTGATGACAGTCACCTAATAAAACATCATTAAACATTCAGATCACAATCTGTCAAAAAACAATGCCGCATTCATTATAAGTGATTCCATATTCCTATTTATATAGGTATAATACAATACAAATAGTCCAATATAATATAAACAGTTACAGAATTACATAGGATCTGCAGCACTGAAACAGGCCATTCTGCCTAACTAGACCTTACTGGTGCTTATACTCCACATGAACCCACAACGTTTTCCAATCCCCCTCCCTTGCCTCCTCTCATGCTTCTCTATTCCTTTTTCTCTTGGGTATGCAGTTACTTACATATAATTGACCCCACCCCCCCCATCTCCTTACCTCGCAGCTCCACCTCCTCACTCCTCTACTCTCTGACACCATCAATCTCTCCTTATCACCTGTCACCGTTCCCATCCCCCTAAAAGCAGTTATAATCACCCCCATCCTGAAAAACCTTTCCCTGGACCCATCCCTGCTTTCCAACCTCCCTTTTTTTCCAAGTCCTTGAAAGAGTCATTGCTTCTCAGCTTTACTCTTTCCTCTCCAACCACTACCTTCACGAGCCCCTCCAATCGGGTCTGCTCGGTCAAGCTCACAAACGGTATCCTGTCCATCTGTGACCCCATCTACAGACACGGGGTCAACTTCCAGATATTCGTGGATGACACACAACTCTATCTCTCTGCCTCCATCCTCAATTCCAGGACAACTGATATCCTAACAGACTGCCTATCAGGCATCAAGTCCTGGATGAGAGTAAAGCTTCCACAGCTGAATGTCAGCAAGACCGAGGCCCTGCTGATTGGCTCGCGCCAGCGTCCCCACACTGGCACTGGCAGCATCTGCATCCACGGATGGGCACTCCACCTCACCAAGCCAGTCAGGAACCTGGGCGTCTTGTTCGACCCTCAACTATCCTTTCTCCTCCATGAGGCACGGACATGGGGGAGAAATCTGTGCCTTCCCCCACCTCCATAACATTGCCCGACTGCACCACTGCCTCAACCCTCATAAGCACATTCGTCACCTCAAGACTCGACTACGGAAACTCTCTGCTTGTCGGCCTCCCCAACTCTTCCCTGCACAAGCTACAGATCATCCAGGACTCTGTAGCTCATGTCCTCTCCCGCACCAGGCTCCGTGACCCCATCAACCCCAGCCTCGCCCGGCTCCACTGGCTCCACATCCCTCAGAGGATAAAATTAAAAATCCTCGTACTCACTTTCAAGGCCCTACACGGCCTTGCCCCCTCCTGCATCCCTGACCTGCTGACACCCTATCAACCTGTCCGCTCCCTCCGTTCAGCAGGCTGGGCTGCTCCATGTCTCCCGCCCAACTCACTTTACCATCGGCGGCCGGGCTTTCAGCCTCTCTGCCCTTTGGAACTCCATCCCACAATCCCTTTGCGTTGCTCCCTCTCTTGCCTCCTTCAAGGCATGACTCAAGACCCTCTTTTTTGACCGTGCATTCAGCCACCCTCCTACCTCTCTGCCCTCCCTCATCCCAACCCTGCCCCCCCCCCCCCTGCTTGGGTCCTGGTCCCCGACTGTTCAGCGCCTTGGGACATCCTCCTGACGTGAAAGGCACTTTACAAATGTAATTTTGTTGTTGTATAATATAATATAAATGCTGTAATATAATACAAATACAATTCAAACAGTGATTAACACCATGGACACAGTAAATAACAATCAATTCAAATACAGAGCTAAAATGGAACATTCTGTAACACATTTGTGATGTGATGTTTAGGAAATATTACATTTTTCACACAATTTATACATTCCTACAAAGTTCCTTCTGCCTGAAAAATCACACACTTCTCTGTATCGTGCAATTTTGCCCTTCTTATCACACTGGAAAAGTTAACATTTACTCAAACAGCAGCCAAACCAGTTTCCATCCACCACCACCTTCCTCCGCCAGCCTGAACTTGTTCTGAGCTTCAACAACTTCACCTTCAACTCCAACCACTTCTTCCAAGTAAATGGTGTCTCAGGCACCTCGGGCACTGGCAGCATCAACCTCCACGGCTGCACACTCAACCTCACTAAACCAGTCAGGAACCTGGGTGTCTTGTTTGACCCTGAACTGTCCTTTCTCCCCCACATCGCGCCATGACCGGCACTGCCTACCACCACCTCTGCAACATTGCCAGACTCCTCCACTAACTCACCCCTCAGGCTGCCAAAACCCTCACCCATGTATTCATCACATCAAGGCTTGAATACGGGAACTCCCTCCTTATCGGCCTTCCCAACTCTTCCCTTCACAAGCTGCAGATCATCCAGAACTCTGCAGCTCGTGTAATCTCATGCACCAGGCTCCGCAACTCCATCACACCCACCATCGCCCGACTCCACTGGCTCCCCATCCCCTAGAGGATCGAGTTCAAGATCCTCATCCTCACTTTCAAGGCCATCCATGGCCTTGCCCCCTCCTACCTCTCTGATCTGCTGACTCCCTACCACCTGCCCACTCCCTCCATTCAGTGGGCTCCGGGCTGCTCCATGTCTCCCGCCCGACCCGCCCTACCATCGGTGGCCGAGCTTTCAGCCTCTCTGCCCCCATACTCTGGAACTCCATCCCACGGACCCTTTGGCTCACTTCCTCCCTTCTTCAAGGCCGGTCTCAAGACCCTTCTTGTGGATTGTGCCTTTGGTCTCCCTCCCACCTCTCTGCCTTCCCTCACCCCTACACCACCCCTCCCCGATGCTCGGGCCCCGATACTTGACTGTTCAGCACTTTGGGACATCCTCCCGATGTGAAGGGTGCTCTATAATTGTAACTTGTTTTTGCTGTTGTTGTCACTATGGGAACTCGCATGGGTCCCAGCTACGCCTGTCTGTTTGTTGGCCATCTGGAGCACTCTTTGTTCCAGGCCTACTCAGGTTCGCTCCCTGACCTGTTCCTCAGATACATTGACAACTTTGTTGGGGCCGCTTCCTGCCCTCACAGTGAGCTGGAAAAATTCATCAATTTTGCTTCCACCTTCCACCCCTCCATAACATTCACATGGTCCATCTCCGACTCTTCTCTTCCCTTCCTCAACTTCACCATTTCCATCTCGAGGCATAGATTATCAACAGATATCTTTTACAAGCACACTAACTTCCAGTTACCTGGACTACACCTCCTCTCACCCCACCTCCTGTAAAGACTCCATTCCCTTTTCCTAGTGTCTCCGCCTTCACTGCATCTGCTCTGATGATGCCACCTTTCACACCAGAGCAACTGAAGTGTCCTTCTTTATCCTCGACTGAGGAATCCTATCCACTGTGGTAGGCAGGGACTTTGACCGTGTCCGCCCTATTTCCTGCACCTCTGCCCTCATCCCTACCCCCTCTTCCCAGAACCGTGATAGGGTCCCCCTAGTCCTCACCTTTCACCCCACCAGCCTCAACATCCAAAAAATAATTCTCAATCATTTCTGGCACCTCCAGCATGATCCAACCACTAAACATATCTTTCCCTCCCCCCTCAGCATTCCGAAGGGACCATTCCCTCCGTGACCCCCTGGTTCATTCCTCCATCACCACCAACAGTTGCTCTCCTCCCCCCGGCACCTTCCCACCCCAGCGCAGAAGCTGCAATACCTGCGCCCCTTTCATCTCCTCCCATACCACTGTCCAGGGCCCCAAACACAAGTGAGATAGCGATTTACATGTATCAATGTATGATTTGAACTGTCGTGATATGGGGCTTTGATATCAATTCAGTGAATTGACTGTATATTTTGTGGGTGAAACATGGCAGCCAATTGCGCACTTCTGTATAATATATACCAGATAAGGAATTTTCCAGTAAGTTATCATAAAAAAGCAAACATTTCAACTGGCAATACTTTGGATTTTGGGTTTCTGACAAGAAATATAAAAATGTTCTCATATTTTCCAATATTATTTAAACCCTTGGATAATATAACACTCCAATAATTTGCTCCTGGCATTTACACACTGTGGTGAATTTTCCTGTAAATCATTCCAAAAGCAAAACTTCATAGCACAAATGCCCTCCACCCCAAGTCTAATATTTCTCCCAGTTCTTGATCATAAACAGATATACTTTCAGATCCTCAAACATAACACAAATTGGGGGAGAGGTGGGGAGGTTGTGCCATTAAAGATGAGAGGAATAACTGCAAAGAAAATTCCAAACTTACATAAACACTTATATTAACGTACATTAAACTTGCATTAACATTCACTCAATGAACTTACAAGGCAACAAAGAGGTTGAATATTGATCTTGGACTTGCTTTATTCTTGTGATTTGTATCTAACTCCATTGGAAAGATAATGTGGATTATTGCCTTCCGATCCATTAAGAGGGATCTATCCTCTTCGACCCAGCAAACACACAGTAGATGCCTATTCATACGAAAGACTGACAATGTTTTACATGGATCTAACGCAATAGTTTGGGGCATCAGTAGTGAGTGACTTCAGTGCCTGTCTAGATATAAGAATAATAATCCTTGCATTTGATATAGTGCCTTATCACGTCTTTGAGACGTCTCAAAGCGCTTCACAGAACATACTGTATAGTGAAACAAAAACAGAAGTTACTGGGAACACTCAGCAGGTCAGGCTGCATCTATGGAGAAAGGAGAGTGTCCATGACCCTTTGTCAGAACTCCAATGACGAAGGGTCATGCACCCAAAACATTGACTCACTTTCCTTTCTCCATAGATACTCCCTGACCCGCTGAGTGTTCCCAGTGACTTCTGTTTTTGTTTCAGATTTCTAGCATCTGTTACTTTCTGTTTTGTTTATACTATAAAATTAATTGACTGGATATTTGTGAGCGAAATGCCAATTGCGCACAGCAGTGTCCCACAAACAGCCATGGATTGAGTGACCAATTTTTTTTTGAAGGAATTATTACACCCCGGAAAAGCGATCCGCCAATCGACTAACAACCGAGTTCCTACTTACTGCTAGGTAAACAGAGGAGTGTGGAGTAAGCAAACTTTCCCAACATTTCACCCGGCCAGGAATCAAACCCAGGTCTCTTGCTCGCGAGGCGAACGCTCTAACTACTGAGCTACAGGACTCTAAATTAGTTCATACCCGCAACGATAACAAATATTTACAGTGTGGTTCAGTTGCAAAATAACATTTTAAACTCACTGAGGGACCCCTTGCAATAAGACTGAGTCTGTGAGAGCAGCTCAATAAATGCAGCAACATATCAATAGAATCAATTGCAGCTGAATAAATCAATGACTACAGCCAGCAGAACAAAGGACAAAATAAAACTTCTGCATCTTTACTGCAACTGAACGTCCAACTGAATCTCACTTACCCTTTTGTACAAGTTCGCTGAAGGCGATGAACAAAACAACGATCCAAAGCTTCATCTTACAAGTTTTCTCAGTATTATCTTGTATTAATATATTTTCTGTATATGTTTTACTTTCGAGCTGCAAATGGAACTGTAAAACTGTGTCTGGCTGCTTTGGTGGTTAACTTTTCAGCAGTTGGCAGGAGTTCAGTGTCTGGAAGTGTTCTTTGCAACTTTCAGAAGAATCCAAATAACAGATTCAAGTGAATCTTGCACAGAATCTGATTAAGTTTCATTTTATACTTGCAATAAAGTGCTTTTTCAAGTCTGCAAAAAGGGTGACCCCTGCAGTAAACATACTGCAATGGCATGATAGAAACTTCAATAAATACACTCCTCTAATTTATCATCTAGTAATATGTATCTTATCATAAGTGCAAATATTGCAATATACAACCTGTATTAATATATTATCTCCTAAAATGTATCTTCTTAAATTACAAACATTGCAATATAAAAATAATCCTTACATTCATTTTATGCTGCACTGAAATGATAGAAAAATATACATTTTTAAAAAATTCTGTAAAGTAACCCTCTTCTCGATATTGTAATTGTCCAGACTTCTCACACATGAGATATCTCACACTGCAACAAGCACTAAAGAACACGACTGAGATTTAATGTAAAAGTTTACATAATTTACTGCTGAGATTCTATTAACCCACCAGTAAATACAAGAAATAATTTGTATTTTTATAACACTTCATCACATTAAAACATTTCAAAGCACTTAACAGATAATTACAGTGAATTTAGTCAATTTATTTCTGTATTACTATATACAGTATGCTAAAATCACAAAGACAATACAGTCCTATGACAAGAATTATTGTGCTGTCAGCTCTGGCACAATTTTTTGTCTGTGGCCCTCCTTGGTCGGTGTTTGGAGTAATATTGACTGTGGTTGGTGTGTTGGTGGAATATATCTTCCATTACATCTAGGTTCGACTACGCCAACGCCCTGCTTGTCGGGCTTCCCAATTTTTCCCTCCACAAGCTGCAGATCATCCAGAATTCTGCAGCTTGTGTCCTCTCCCGCACCAGGCTCCGTGACCCTATCGCCCCCACCCTCGCCCGACTCCACTGGCTCCCCATCCCTCAAGAGGATAGAGTTCAAAATCGTCATCCTCGCCTTCAAGGCCCTTCAGGGCCTTGCCTCCTCCTACGTCTCTGACCTGCTGATGCCCTATCAACCTGTCCGCTCTGTCTGCTCAATGTCCCCTGCCCAACCCACCCTACCATCGGCGGCCAGGCTTTCAGCCTCTCTGCCTCGACTCTTTGAAACGTCATCCCACATCCCTTTTGCTTCGCTCCATCCCCTCCTTTGCCTCCTTCAAGACATGCCTCAAAACCCTCCTCTTTCACCGCACCTTCGGCCACTCTATTCTTTCTGCCCTCCCTTATCCCAACCCCCAACTCGGGTCCAGACCCTTCACTGTCCAGCCCCTTGGGATGTCCTCCTGATGTGAAAGGCTCTTTACAAATGTAATTTGTTATTGACGGTGGTTGAACATTGACTGTAATTGGTGTAATATCATTGTCTGACTGTCTGTGACCGGTGCATTTTCTCCGGTGTGGGCTGGTGGCAGTGGCCGGTGGCAGTGGCCGGTGGCAGTGGCTGGTGTGGGCTGGTAGCAGTGGCCAGTGGCAGCAGTCGGTGTGGGCTGGTGGCAATGGTGGGTGGCAGTGGCTGGTGGCAATGGCCGGTGTGGGCTGGTAGCAGTGGCCGGTGTGGGCTGGTGGCAGTGGCGCGTGGCTAGTGGCGTGTGGGCTGGTGGCAGTAGAAGGTGGCAGTGGCCGGTGTGGGCTGGTGGCAGTGGCGGTGGCAGTGGCGGTGGCATTGGCAGGTGGCAGTGGCGGTGGCAGTGGCATTGATATTGGTGGGAGGCAGTGGTGGGTGGCAGTGGCGGTGGCAGTGGCGGTGGCATTGGTGGTGGCAGTGGCAGTGGCGGTGGCAGTAACAGTGGCGGTTACATTGGTGGGTGGCAGTGGCGAGTGCGCGTGCGCGGCGCTGTGATGTCACGGGCTGCTCTGCCGTTCCTCGGCGACAATCTGAACCGCTTCTCACTGTCCCACTGAGGGCCCGGGAGGGGCCGCACTGCGCCTGCGTGTCGCCGCACTCAACATGGCCGGCTCCGAGCATGCGCACTCTGGTGGCTCACGCAGCGGCTTTCTTGTACGCGAAAAAAAACGGTGCCCGCGGCCGAGGCTCGGGGCGGGGGCGGGGGAGGGGGAGGCGGAGGGGGAGGGCAGCTGTGAGCCGCCGGCAGCGCTCAGGCAGATCCGCGGCGCGGACGGCAGTGGGTTTCAAGGCAAAGCTCGAGCAGCGGCCGCCAGTGATGTGAGCGTATCTGGCGGCGTGTTGTCAGCGTGTCAGGATGGCCGAGTGGTCTAAGGCGCCAGACTCAAGGTTGTACCTTCCCAGTGCGGGGCGGGGTTTCTGGTCTCCGACTGGAGGCGTGGGTTCGAATCCCACTTCTGACAACACTTTTTTTTTGTGGGGGGGTGGGGGGGAGGGTTTAACGCCCAAAACTTTCCTTTACACTTTTTGTCCGTTATGGTTTTTTTTTTTTTGTCCTTTAAAACCTGTTTGCCACGCGGTATTTTTTTTTTAAAAAACAAAAAAAATAAGAAAATGATCGACCGACCGGGGGTCCCGATCAATCGCGCAGTACGTCAAACAGCAAGTCGACCGATGGCTAATTTGTTAACTTAATTTTAATCATATCATTAGATGGCTTCTAATAATTCAACCGGTTAACCGGCTCTGAAAGCAAAACGTCGGATTTCAGGCGCCTCAATCGTGCAAACGGGGGTTCCTCTCTCCGTTCGGATGGGATACAAACACCCTCATAGTTTCGCCCTTCCCGGCTCGGGGGCTGTCCTGTCCTGTCCTGTCCTGTCCTGTCCTGTCCTGTCCCGGCGGTTTGGGACGTCCTCCCGGTGCGAAAGGCGCTTTACAAACGTGATTGTGTGCGGTATTGCGCGTGGATAGGCAGAACCTGATTTCGCTTGACCCTGGTCCCAAGATCCTTCAAGATCCTCGCCCTCCTGGTCAAATCCCTTCGCTCCCCGGCACCTCCCGACCTCTCCGACCTCCTCGCTCCACAATCCTCCACCCGGCGCCTCCGCTCGACGGGCGCCGGCCTCCTGCTCGGGGGTCCCTCGCACCCTCCGTCCCGCCATCGGAGGTCGCGCTTTCAGCCACGACGCCCCGACAACTCTGTCAGTCCTGGATGAGAGCCAACTTTGTTCAGTTGAACGTCAACAAGACCGAGGCTCTCCTGATTGGCTGCGGTCAGCGCCTCCACACCTCAGGCGCTGACAGCATCACCGTCCATGGTTGCGCACTCCACCTCACTGAGGCAGTCCGGACCCTTGGCATCAAGTTTGACCCTCAACTGTCCTTTCTACCCCACATCCGTGCCATGACCCACTCTGCCTTCCCCACCTCCGCAACGTCGCCCGGCTCCGCCACCGTCTCACACCGCAGGCTGACAAAACCCTCATATACGCTTTCATTACAAACAACAACAACAACAACAACAAGATTCCATTTATAGAGCGCCTTTCACGTCAGGAGGACGTCCCAAGGCGCTGCACAGTTGGGTCATGACCCGAGCAGGGGGGAAATGGTCAGGGTGAGGGGAGGGAAGGGAGGGAGCGAGGAGGGGGGAAATGGTCAGGGTGAGGGGAGGGAAGGGAGGGAGAGAGGAGGGGGGAAATGGTCAGGGTGAGGGGAGGGAAGGGAGGGAGCGAGGAGGAGGAAGAGAGTCGAGAGGGGAGCTGAAGGCTCGGTCAAAGAGACAAACTGCTTGTCGCCTCCCCAACTCCTTCCTCCATAGGCTGCAGATCATCCAAAACTCTCCCGCACCAGGCTCCGCGACCCTGTTACCCCCATCCTCGCCCGACTCCACTGACTTCCCATCACACAAAGGGTACAGTTCAAGATCCTGGTCCTCACCTTCAAAGCCCTCCATGGCCTCGCTTCCCCCTACCTCTGCGAACTCCTAACCCCCTGCGGGCTACCCCCGCCTCGCTCGCCCCTCCCTCCCCCTCGCCCCCTCCCTTGACTCCTTCAAGACCCGTTGTTGTTGTCTCATCATGATCCTCTCACCTCTTGTCGGCTGGGCTCAGTTAATAATACTCTCGCCTCTGGATCAGAAGACCTACGTTGGAACGTGGACCTCACAGTCTAAATCGGGTACTGGAGTGCCACATTGTCTGAGGTGCTGATCTCTGAATGAGCTGTCAAGCCAAGGTCCTCTTTGTGTGGACATTAAACATCTTATTTTAGAAGTGAGTTTCAACTTGATGTACTGCAAACATGATACTGCCTCAGATAAAGTTGACAATCATACCACCGTTTATAATAATATAAATAATAATCCTTGCATTTGATATAGCGCCTCATCATGTCCTCGAGGCGTCTCAAAGTGCTTCACAGAATATATTGTGAAGTGAATTGACTGTCTGTTTGTGGGTGAAACGCGACAGCCAATTGCGCACAGCAATTTCCCACAAACAGTCGTGGATTGAATCACTAAATGAAAATATTTTTTGAAGGATTATTACCCCGGGAAAAGTGAACCACCAATCGACTATCAACCGGCTTCCTATTTACTGCTAGGTAAACAGAAGCGTGTGGAGTAAGGAAACAGCACACCCCAACTTTACGTGACGTTGGGGGTGTGCTGAAACATATTGATAATCTTGTATCAAACGCAAGGATTATTATTATTACATTATAAATAATGTGGACAAATGTGCAATTTCCACCAGGTGTCACTAGATAGCAGTTAGAAGATCTTTCCCCAGCTGAGATCTAATAAATCAGTAGAGATCAGGGATTGACCTTGGCCCTTTTTCGATCTATACTTAATCTGGCAAATGCAATCGGGGAACCCTATTGAAAAGTTTCCTGTGCTACTTCTTGATGAGGTTAGAATTTATTTGTGAAAACAGACCAGCAAATGGAAATTTTCTTTCACATTCTTTTTAATGTTTTAATTTAGAAGACGTATATCTTTGAAACCAGACAATAATACATCTAGCACAAAAAAAATTTGAGTATGAAAAGTTGACTAACAAGTACAGGGATACCAGATTGATAATGCGTGATTGTTCAAAAACAAAATCCTCATCCTCACAAGCTGTACCTGTGTATTACATTTCTTTTAAATTTTCAGGTTTCTTGACTGAATGTTTGCCCCTCCCCCATAACCCCCCCGTCAGCTGTGTGAAGCACTCTGACATGTCCTGACATGAAAGGCCTTATATAAATGTAAATTGTTCTTTTTAAGAAAAAATCTTTGACAATTACTCAAAGAAAGGTTCAAAAAAAGTAAAATGTGTTTTATTATCATCCAGTTCTTTCATGATCGAAGCAATTTGTATTAGATAATTGCTGCAGTTATAAACTTGTTCATTTCTAGAACACTCCAATGCTGTGCGATAATCTTGGAGCGCCAGATCTTCATTCCTCTCGACTTCAGCACAGACTAAAAATAAACATTTGCTGCATTGATAGTGAGATGGATTCTTTCAGGGAACGAATGACACAAAACGACTTTCTGCTGGAGAGCAGTATTATCGTTATAACAAAACTGAACTTCCCACCAGAGCTCTGGGTGTACAGTTTTGTACTTGACCTTTGGTGCTGAGACCCTTTACAGAGCTGTAATGCTCCAGAAATGAGGATTGAGTGAAATTAATGGTTGGAATTATTATGTGATTGCTGGCGGCAGTTCCAAAAATAAACATCTATTTCATTTGTTTTTTTTAAAAAATAATAAGAAATTAGCAGTTTTCGGTGTTCTCTAGAAAAGTGGTTGCCAAACCAAATACATTTTTCTTTATTGAACTTTTCTTTATTTATTGCTGCACCATGGTGTCGTGGCTCAGTAACTACCGGAAACAAGGTATTGATTTGCTGCGGACTTGCCTGGACTGATGCAGGTGTTCTCTTCAACCGTGCCTTCAGCTCCCCTCTCGACTCTCTACCCCCTCCTCGCTCCCTCCCTTCCCTCCCCCTGACCATTTCCCCCCTGCTCGGGTCCCAACCCAACTGTCTAGTGCCTTGGGATGTCCTCCCGACGTGAAAGTCGCTCTATAAATGCAATCTTGTTGTTGTTGTTCTGCGGGCCACTTCTTGACATCCCACCATGAACCAAAAGTGGCCCATGGGCCACAGGTTGTCAACAACTGCTCTAGAGTTACTACTTTTTTCCCCAAAATCTCAGTTTTAAAACAAATAGGCTCCACATCACATGCCATTTTGCAGCCAACAATGTAGGCAGGCAACCTGTTGGTCAGGTTTTGCCAACACCTGTTGCTACTTTGACCAAGAGAACGTGATCTATGTTAGAACTCTTTCAGTCTTTCCTTCCTTTCTCTCCACTGGGTACTTTAGGATTAGGAACGGGTTGTGTCATGAATTCTCAAACCCTTCTTACGCCCAATCCTGTTCACACACATCTGAAAAATTAGTTCTTGTCAAATGTTAAATTAAAATTATCGGTGTTTCATTAATATGCTTAATAATACTTAATAATGCTTCAACTAGAATAGATCTTACATTTAATATAGAATATCAATTTTATTTAGCTTGATATATATTTTAAAGCAATGATACCAATGTACAATGAATCATTGTATCTTTTTGAAATGACTTGCGATTACTGCACTGCATTCCAGGACGTTTACACTTGAATGGATCAAAAATGCACAAGGTAAAATATTTAAGAAATTCACCAAATTCAACAAGTACAAGTAGCTGGATCAGTCGACTAAACATGAGCAGCAGAAGCATCTGTGCCATCAGTCTTTTTGTAATACATCACTATTGTCCTTCTGCATTTCCTTCAACTTCTCGGCTCCATCATCGGAGGCCATGCTTTCAGTCACTACACCCCGACACTCTGGAACTCCCTGCCTCAGTCCCTCCACCTTGCCACATCTTTTTGTGTCTTCAGATCACACCTGAAGGCTTCCCTCTTTGACCATGCCTGTGGTCACCTACCCTATCTCCCTGGCTCGGCATCCAACTACTTAATATTAAGACCTCCGAGACGCTATGCTGTGTGACGGATATCATATAAATGCAAGTTTTTGTTGTCTGACTATCATTGTGTTTGTTTACAACAATTTAAAAATCAGGAAACAATAGAATGTGAGAAGGTTAGGTTTAAACAAGCTAATTTAGCTTTAAGAGCTGTCACTGTACTTCTATTTTGTCCATTTCCAGTCCATTGGGCTGCAGAGACTTATGGAGATGGAACACAGATTAAAATGCAATCATTACTGCAATGGACCTTGGATCCCCTACACGATTACTCTTCGCAATTACATTCTTTCAAGTTATATTGGCACTAAAGCTTACAGTCATTCAGGATATGTATTGTGCCTCTGCAAGAACCTGAAGAAAGAACTGCACATAGGAGCAAAGACGGCAGAATACGTATCAACAAAAAAATACATTCATACCACACTTTTCTCGTTAGGAGGACATCTCAAAGTACTGCAGACAGCTGACTGGGATTTAAACTGGGGAGGAAGTGGCTAAAAGCGCAGAGAAATAGATATAGCTCAAGGTATGGTTTGAAGGGAGGGGCAAAGTGGAGCGACTCTGCCATGTCCTACATTGTAGTTATTCGATGAAGTTAGAGAGAGGGAGCAGAATGGCTGAAAGCTCCTCCACCAATGGTGGGGCTGATTAGGGTGGGGAAGGGGGGGAATTGGACATGAAGCAGGTATTTGCTGAGGGGAGAGGGAGCATCAGGGCAGTATGGTTGCAGGAGGACTCAGAGGGAGGGTGGGGTAAAGCTATGGAGGGATTTGAAAGTGTAGACAAGGATCTTGTACCTGCTGGGGGATGGGGAGCCAAGCAAAGATGAGGACAACAGGCTTGTGGAGCCTGATGTGGGAGAGGTTTTGGGCTGCAGAGAATTGTAAATAGTTGAGACTGGAAATGATGAAGGCTTAGCTGAGTGTCTCGACAGCCCTGGGGAAGGGGTAGTGGTATAGATATTGCAGAAATGAGGAAAAACTGAGTGAGAGCCTTGATATATGGTTGAGGAGAGCTGAGCGGCTGAGAGGTTGGATGTAGGGTTTGAAGAGAGCTGAACGACAGAGTTCAATGCAGGATTTGAGGAAAACCTATCTTAAGCTAAATTGAAAATGGAATCCGCTGGTTTCACCTTATACCACCCACTCCTGCCACAAAACACGGTTAGCTGCTGAGTAATGTATTATAATACTCTTAACTATTATAAGTTAATAACAGCAAAAATATCACTGGCTATGTGGGACCAATACTGTAACTTCTAGTTTTCCTCCACTTTTAGAAAACCATCACTGCGAATACACTTGTGGATTTCACAAGCCCAGTAGAGTTTACATCATCACAATGTTTTTTTAGAACAAGAACAACCCAATTGATATGCATTAAATGAAACATCTAGACCATTAGACTATGTCACAACATTGTGACATCCTATAGCTCATCAAAAAATCATCATTTCCCCATCCATCAACTTCCAGCCAGGCTGGTGAAACAGACCTAGACAGGTACAGCACAGATTTTCAGCACGGAAGGAGGCTATTTAATCCACTGGGTCTGTATTATTGCTACCTGGTCTCTAAATCACTCTTTATTTTAATCTTTCCTTACAGCTCTCTCCTCATATATAATATATATAATCCTTAATATCTTTACTGTTCAGGTACTTATCCAATTATCCAATTGCCTTTTGATAGATTATATTGATCCAGCCACAAATAACCATTTATGGTAATGTATTCCACAACCCATTAACCCTGATGTCCACATCTCCATGGCTAACAATGGTGAGGATGTAAATTTCTCCAGCACTGCCAATAGCAATGTGATCATCCAATTGGAGGTGGTACTCAAGGTGCCCATTTTCACTCATCTGGAAGTCTTGCTATAGAACTCAAACACCTTGCTCTGACAGCAAGTGCACACTCAATGGGCCAAATAGCCTCTTTATATACTGTACATTTCTTTGATTCTAACTGACATAACCACCAAACGCACTGGGACGATTCTCCGTGCAAGGGGTGCTCTATAAATGCAAGTTCTTGTTGTTGATCCAGTCAAAATTGAAAGAAGAGGTTAAAAAGACCAGATAACTTCCAAACCTAATTCATCGCATGAAGTTAAAATACAGCACTACCAAAAATAGTTCAGCAAGAAAAACTTGCCCTCCTAAGGATTTGTCAGCACCAAACCTTTACACAATGATAATCCTTGCATTTGATTCAGCGCCTTTCACACCAGCAGGATGTCTCTAAGTGTTTCACAGGATTTACTGTAAAGTGTAGCGACTGGATTTTGTAGGTGAACGCCTTCCTTATCGCTGATAAATAGTTTGCAAATTAAGACGAGTTTGTATACTAGATTTGTTTTCTGTATAGTTTTTGTACATGAATGGCTGTCATCCACTTTCAGAATATCTCCAAACTAATTGATCTGAATCCCTCAGATACACTAAAATTCCGTGCCTACAAGCCTGATGTTGCAGATTAATTAACACAAGTGTCAGCTTTAAACTTCCCAATCGTTCATTTTTTTTAACTCATCTTTTGTTTTGTATCCAACCTCTGTTGAAATCTTGCTCTTTTTCAGTGTAAATTTATTTTAATCATAACGGATGGGATAATGTTGCTCCATCTGTATATCATATTATAATTGAATGTAGTAGCACCAATTAAAACACACACAGCTTACAATTACACCAGTAACAGTAATTATAAAAGTCCTAGGTTTATCAATAAGCTTTGTCTAAAGGCTATAAAAAATAATTTGCATCATCTTTTGACTTGTATCAGGAATGCTCTTTCTCTGCTCCCGATATATGTTGCAAAGAAGAAAGTAACATATCGTTAGACTCTTGGTTCCTACTAAATGTCGTTTATCTTTCTTCTACAGCGGTCAGTCCTTTATTGTGGGGAAAAAAATACTTAACTTTTCACTCAGAGCATTTCTGATGGAGATTCAGATTAACGGCAGAGCCACTGAATGTAGCGGCCCTAGCAAATGTGACACAGAGTACAGCAGCTAATAGGCAGATATACTTCTAGGCAAACAATGAGCTCTTCCAAAAATATTAATTTGTAAGTAGAAAGCTGACGCTTACAGATATTTGACATAGTTCAGGTATAACAGTCAGCATAGTTATACTGCTCATTATAACACAGATGTGATATTGCTGAGTAACAGACTGGTGTCTGTGTCACCTTTCACAGCTAAAATTCGCTTGTCTTCTCGTTCAGAATGAACTGTTCAAGCTCGGTTGCATTGTCATCATTGTCCAGGCCTTCGTCGGGATCTTTATTCTCTATTTCACTGTTTATTGACTCATCATCACGGTGCCCTTCAACACTGTGTCTGATGCCATAACTAAAGTAGATGACAAACCCTGTAAACAAGAAAAAAAGGAGACAATTGAGCACTGCTGAGACTGTAGTTATTGTTCGGCTCTGCTATTCACATTACATTTTAATAATGCTCCAAGGTGCTACCCTGTATGAAGACTGCTAATACAAATACAAGTTTCTGCTGTAAAGGAAATTTATCCTAGTTGTACAATGTTATCAATTAAAATTTTGGAAGAGATTTCCACATTCTCATCGCGTTCTAAGTCACTGTATTTAAATAAAAAAATTTCACAGATTCAGATTCTTACCAACAGCCATCCATATAGCAAAGCGAATCCAAGTGTCCACACTCAACTGGATCATTAGGTAAATATTGACAAAAATGCTGACAATAGGCAAGAATGGTAAGAACGGCACCTAGAAAAAAATCAACAGCGTCAATACAATACAGTACAATTTATTTAAGTAGTGCCTTTCGCATCGGAAGGATGCTCACATCGCTTGAAATTTCTTTTTTTCTCCTTTCTTTCCTAAAATGCTTCCTTCCTATATTTAAGTAGACTCCCGTAGCGTAGTGGTTTGCACGCTCGCCTCGGAAGCTGGATGGGCTGAAGCCTTAGGTAAGTTTCCTTACTCCACACGCCTCTGCTTACTTAGCAATAAGTAAAAAAAAAGTTGTTAATCGATTGGCAGATCCCTTTTCGGGGGTAATAATCCCTCAAAAAAAATTTGGTCACTCAATCCATGACTGTTTGTGGGACACTGCTGTACACAATTGGCTGTCGCATTTTGCCCACTAAATAAACATTCAATCCACTTTACAGTATATTCTGTGAAACGCACTGAGACGTCTCAAGAACGTGATAAGGTGTAATATCAAATGCAAGGATTATTCTATAATTAAGTACAAGTGTTAACCAATTTTTAGCCCGTCTTAAAATCCTACAATTCGATATTTCATAAGTAATAATTCACAGAGACTGTGGGATTACTAAACCTCTGACACAGCTGTGTATGTTAGCAAAGCTAACTGAGGCAGAGTAAAAAAAGAGTTCCATTAGGTAATTACCCTAACTGGAAATAAGATTAGAATGGATTGAAATAAAATATGGAATGCTCTGTCCAAAAAGCTGCACTGACAGAATAGCAATATTTAAAAGCGAGAAAGACAAATTCTTGCTTTTCATAAAGTGCCTTGGGTAGTAGAGCTATAAAGTTATATGGCGAAAGGGAGGGGAATTGGGATTAAAAGATCTGCCCAAAATATACCAAACTGGTGTCATAAACTCAAAGAGCTGAATGGCCTCCTCCTATTCCTGCTTTCATATATTCCTAAAGTAATCAAATACTCCACAAGTCCACAGGGGAAGTGCAAGGGAATATTTTATATGGAGGGTACCAGGGCCAGTGTTGGATAGAGTGAAGATAGCACCTCATCACATTAAAAAGTGTGGCAACTGTTTTTGTAGGAACATGATAGTCATTCTCCCACAATTGAATGATCAATTAATTTGGAGGATTGCTGACAAGGATACTGAGAAAACTCCCTTCTCTTTTCAAATAGTGCCAGGGAATCTTTAACGCCCACCTGAACAGGCAATCGAGAACTTGGTTTTATGTCACCTCCAAAAAAGGCACACTCAGATGGTGCAGCACTTCCCCAATACTACTACACTGAGTTATCAGCATAGGTTATAATCTTAAATCCTGATGCAAAGCTTCTGAAAGCCTGGGGGACTTCATGGTATTTATTGAAATGTTAAATAATGTGTTTGCAACTGGATTTGTTTTGTTAATTGCAATGCCTGGTTTGTTACTCATGATTATGAGATGTTAAAAATTGTTTTCAAATGACTTTCAAAATTAAATGCTGGTTGCAATTGCAATTAGAATCACAATCACAAACATGCCTAGGGTTTTGCTTTTGGGGCTTTATGTGTCTGAGAAACAACCCAAAAGTCAGACAAAGTCAGTCTTTTCTAATGTTTGGGCTTTGAAAGTCGGCATTTTTTGTTCTGAAGTTCAAAAATGGGAACTCAAGAACCAGAAACCAGACTCAATGCTGCACAATTGCATGAATATTTTTCAAATTTTAATTTAAAATGTGAAATTTGGAAAATATTAGTAATGATCTTTGCATTTTTATAGTGCCTTATCACGTGGTTGAGACGTCTCAAAGGACATATTGTAAAGTGAATTGACTGTATATTTTGTGGGTAAAACACGGCAGACAATTCCGCACAGCAGTGTCCTACAATCAGCCGTGATTTCAGTGACCAAATTATTATTATTATTTATTTATTTTTTGAAGGGATTATTATTATCGCTGGGAAAGTGATCCGCCAATCTACTAATTAAATATTGCATTTTAGACTCCTCTAGCCCAGATTAGACAGCAGCAGCATAATGTGGCAAGCAATGAACATTTTCAGGAAACATCATACAATGCCTGTGATACACAATTTGTTTACCTGCTTGGGTCTCCCTTCCCTCCCCATTGTTGAATTCAACAACAGAACTGCTTACCATGAAGACCACTTTGTTCTGATTTTGAGGTTGCTTCCATATGATGAAGACCATCCCAGCAAATATCGCGAGGAGCACAACAAGAAGTGCTATGCTCCAGGTCACCATTGAAAGGAGTGCTTCAATGTGGTGCGTAATCAGCACACTCAACGCACAAACCAAAATACCTAAAGAAAAGAAAGTGAATTCAGTTATTCAGTGTAGATGTACAATCCACACTAACTAACTCTAATAATTTTCATTTCAATGTTGCTTCCTTTTAGAATAATTTTATCTGAAGCCTTTGAAGTTCCAGAGCCTCTCCTACCTCTCCGACCTACTATCCCCTTACTTACCTGCCTGTACCCTCCGTTTCTCTGGCTCCGGTCTGCTCCACATCCCCCGCCCAACCGCCCTACCATCGGTGGTCGGGCCTTCAGCCTCTCAGCCCCGAGGCTCTGGAACTCCATCCCCCAGTGCCTTCGCCGCTTCCTCCCTTTCCTCCTTCAAGGCCGGTCTCAAGACCTTTCTCTTTGACCGCGCCTTCAGCTCCCCTCTCGACTCTCTACCCCCTCCTCGCTCCCTCCCTTCCCTCCCCTCACCCTGACCATTTCCCCCCTGCTCGGGTCCTGACCCAACTGTACAGCACCTTGGGACGTCCTCCCGACATGAAAGGCGCTCTATAAATGGAATCCTGTTGTTGTTTGTCACCTTTACACTCCCTCTGTCACTGTTAGACTATTCCTGCTTCTGTCACAATTACTCTATCATCCTTGTGGGGGGGAGGGGTGGGGGGGAGTTGACTATCCTCCAGAGGGTGGGGGAGGTAAGCAGGGTCTCCTTGAAACTGAACTGCCTCCAAGGTGACACACTTGACAATTGACTATTAAAATCAAGTCAATCCTCTGTGGTGGTCTCGGTAGCCAAGTCCTGAGCCAAGCAGGTCCGCACTACTCTAGGACACTGCTGATGACAGACAAGCTCATTGGTAGTATTTGGGGAGGCAGACATGTCTGGGGGTAAGGATTCTTCCTAACCAGCTCCTTTTGTGGTTGAGTCATACCATTGAGCACAGCTGCAAAAATTGATGCACGTCATGATGGAGCACAGCAGGATAGTTACATCCATCAAAGAATTTTCTTTCCCAATTCAAAATGGATAAAGTTGAGGTCACTTTAACAAAGGCATGGCACTAAATTAATAGAACCATGAATACTCACCAGAAATATTCTCATTGTCCGCCTGACGTGAAAGGCAGGAGGACAATGATAATTACAAATGTAATTTTGTATTGTTGTATTGTTTACCTTCACGTACCTATAAGCCCCACACAGCCATGCACCACATTTGATGTCTGTTGTGTTGCAATCATAGAGGGGTTTATTATTGTTGAACAGCTGATGTCTTGATCTTTTAGGTCAGACACTCGGAGGTCTGATACACTCGTGTCCAATTCACCTTCTTCTTGAGTTGTGAGATTCTCTGTTTCTGGAGAGCAATTTTGTTTTTTGTAGTCTGCATCTGGCTGATACCTGGTTGTTTTTTAAATAAGTTCATGTTTAGAAATATAAACTTCTTAATAAAATCAATGTTATGTTCTTCTAATTTCACAAATATTCACTATGTATTTTATACTAACTCTTCTGGTAGTTTTAGAACTATCTTTGGTCAGGACACCAGGGTGAGCTAAGGGAGGTTAATAGTAATATTTTAACTTAAAGGAGGCATACTTCCCCCACCCTACAATAATAACTTTACAACCATCTTAGTGAGCAAAATAATAATGTTCATTTGGGTTCACAAGCTCATGGATACTAATTGATATTTCAAACTACTTGGATGAAGTGCTGGAGCGCTGGTGCCATAAGTGAAACCATACCTCAGCATGAGGAACTATCTTCAGAAGAGGGTAGAAAAGCCAAAACAACATTTCTTTAGGTGACAAATATTTGACTAGCTGTGTGGGTGGAGTAGAGGGCAGCGGTAGGGAAGTGCAGTGGTAACATAATAATCCTTGAAACTGACCTAATGTCGATGTCAAAATGTTTCAAAGTACTTTACAGTAATTGCTGTAAATTGTAGTGCCTGGAATTTGTAGGGAACTCAACAGACAATTTGAACACAGCAACTGTCCCACAAATAGCCAGGAAGTGAGTGATCAATAGGAGGATTGTTGGCAAGGATATTGGGCGAAACTTCCTTCTCTTTTCAAAATAGTATCATGGGTTCTTTAACGTTCATATGAACTGACAGGTGAAGACTTGGTTTAATGTCTCCTCCAGCTGTTGACACCTCCAGCAATATAGGGTGTCAGCTTGGGTTGTGAGCTCAAAGTCCTGTTGTGGGCTCACTGGTCATTAGGCAAGGAAGGAGGGCAGAGGAGGATACCATTAGGATCTAGATTTAGGTGTCCATCACCTGGGATTGAGAGCAGAGAGCTATTCTCTCTATCAATCACATTGGATCATCGTGTGGAGAGAGCTAACTGAACAAGTTGAATCAAAGAGATGTCATGAACAATCTCTGGTTATGATTTCTAAAAGACACATCAAGTCCCTGATTATCAATGCATTATCAAAAATATTGAAGTAAACTGAATTGAACCAACTGAAATGAATTGTTGATTTTCACTATTTCACAAGCTATGTGCATTGTCACTACACCCCCTCTTGAATGATAAGCTCTCTCTTGAATATCATTCAGTGAAACAGGACTGTTGTCTATTGAACATTAGATATGATGTATATCAGTTCCTACCTCAGGAGAAGAACGCAGGCTGCAACTAGAGAATATGCCAAAAGTGTTCCGATAGACATCATATCCACTAGGGCCTTCAGGTCAAACAGGAACGCCATGACAGCTGCCAAAATAGCACGAGGAATTGAACAGCAGTTTTAAGTCAAATTCTACCTGTTGGTTGGCTTACATGTCTGCCTTGCAGGCTATAGTTTATTGCTTGATTGAAAAAGTCTACTTCAGCATGTAATTGCATGCATCGGAGAATGCACAAGCCTGTGCCAATGAGTTAGTTCCATTTGTAATTTGCATTACCATATTTTTTCCCTTCTAAAGTCGTCAACTCTTTGTTGGAGATATAGTTCCACAAGAGCTGGCAGCCATTCAATATTATGCCCAAGAGACTATTCTTTATGTACAAGCTTAAAGAGCTATTGATGGTATCTAGTTGATCATAGAAGGGATCACAGCTGAGCCTGCTCCGATCCTTCTGTACTGTTGTTTCCACTGCATGCAGACTGGGGAAGCCTCAGTTAACAACAACAACAGCTTGGATTTATATAGCGCCCTCCACGCTGGACGGCATCTCAGAGCGCTAAAATGCAATTATATATAAATTATATACAAATTTGCTAATTGTATGCTACAGTGATTTGCAAAGTATGCCAACAGTTTGTCACCAAGTGCATTTAAAAAGTTTTGTAATAAATTATTTTGTGCTAAGTGTTATTATTGGTGCTAAAATTGATAGGGTGGGTAGAATGAAACAGCTCGCCAGTGCTTGCAGGTAACCAGCTCCCCATTCATTAACTAACAGATAACCAGTAACCTGGTAGAGTATCAAACATTAAAAGTTGAAACACAAATTCCGATCATGCTTAAATCTTCCAACACATCCTTATTCACAGTGAAACTCAAAACAGTGTTAGAGATTACAATTCTGTTCATTAATTACAGCCAGACAGAATTCCAAGACAATAATGTGCCATTGAAAATTACATTAAAATTGAATACATTCCTTCTGGGTTCTAAGTGACTTCTGTCACAGGAACAAGTTAAACTGATGAAGTGTCAAATGTAATTGGCCAATAGTGACTTATAATCTTGCATTTACAATACAATTTAATAAACAATGCATGTATTGGATATGATGTAATTACAATCTATATTTAAGTAAAACCTTTCATATTGGGAGGGTATCTCAAACCGGTTACACAGCTGATTAGGAACTCGAGCTGAGGGCAGGGGGTGGGGGTTGAAAGGTAGCCAAAAGCTAGTAGGGTAGGATTTAAAAATGGGGAAGGAGGAAGAGTGGCAAGGAGTGAGGCCGGAAACAAGCCAGAGGGGTTCTGGGTTGGAGTTCCAAAGAGTGGAGACAGAATGCCTGAAAGTTCGCCCATTGATAAGAGAGTAGATTGAGTGGGGTACAGCTGATTCATTTGCTGCTCTACATCAACACGAAGATTTAATGTCAGCAGTAAAGCGAACAACTGGACATGCTTATAAATCTTAGTCTATTGTGGAAGGCTATCAACGAAACCCAAAATAACCTAAATGCACCTGTTTTCTTGGCATCCTGAAGAAATGAGTGGATTTAAGTTCCTGCTGGTGGGCTTGGATGTACCTCAAGTGTTTTATCAGTTGCAGCATTTTAAAGCCAGGCAGTTGAACAGCGATTTATGCTGGTTCCATGGCTCCTCTCTGCTTCTGTGACTTACTCCTCAATGTCTTGGCTTGCTCTTGAGACACAGGCTAATCATTTCATACCTGCCTTCATACCTTTGGCAGAGACCCTGGGGACTTGGGGGATTGTTGGCCAGGTCACCAGGAGGAAGTCCCTTTTGTCTGGGCCATGAATCCTTGTTTAACAATTTTCATAAAAGATATAACACCAAACAAACTCCCATGAAAGCTATGGTGACCCACAATGTCTGAACTATCTGTAAAAATCTGAAAAAAATATCCCCCAAATTCCTATAGGATTTGATGTTTGCAAGGAGTAGCTATTGAGGCTGAGGCAACAATAACATTTGAAAAGGGACTGGATCGATGTCTAAAGAGCACAAAATGGAAAGAGCAGGGATCTGGGATTATATATGACATATCCAGGTGAACCTCACGATCAAATGGGTCCATTGGCTCAGAGGCCAAGTTATAAGCAAAACATGAATAAATGGCCGACATCATTTGCGAAATAATGTTAGTGGTGCTTTCTGCGCCTGGCACAGATGTGGTAAGAAGTGGGACTGGTGGTACGTGCAATGAGCAGGAAGTGACGTCAATGGCAATCTGACAAGCCATTTTACAGCAGGAAGCTGAATATTATGATTTGCCCTGTATTCTGAATCCAGCAGATTTTGGGACACTAAGAATTCATGGTATTTAGGATTCAATATAACACACTCAGGAAGGTATTAATCATTCTTACAACTTGGAATTTAGACTCACGCTTTAGAGCAGTTGGTATATCGTGAATGGAGCAAATGCAATTCGGCGTTACTTTTATTTTACTGAATACAGAACAATTTTCACGTGAAAGAGATATCTTAATGGCTGGAACTTTGCTTAACAAACTCACTACCTAGTCTGCCTCTCGGTAGAAGTGTGGGTTTCTCTGCACTTTCCAGGCTTCTATTGGGTTCCCCTCCCCCCCCAGAGAGGGTTAAGAAACTCTGTAATCTGTCTCAGGCCAATACGGTTTAAATATAAAGTGGAACTTCAAATTCTTGGAATTAGCACTTACCAGAAGTAATAACAATTGTCAAAATTTACAGAGATTAGTGGAAACACAAATAAGTGATTTGTAAAATACTTTTATATTGATACAAGTTCATTCTGAGATGGACACAACTAAGTCACTCTGAAGAAATATTACTTGACATTATCTGTCTGAGTGGACTTGAAATATCTGGTCTGGTGGTTTTATAAAGGTCACATTTTAATCTCATTATCACTGTTTAAATAATCACATGAACAACTGCCTTTGTAGGTAGATATGCTTGGCTTCTTTTCTTTTTAAAAAAAACTTTTTTTCCCAAAAGGCAATTTTTTTTCAGCAGTCATTTTCATTTCATAAAATGAAGTGGATTCACTCAGTCTTTTAAACAGACGCCAGAAAATGATTTAATCCATTTATCGTAAAATGTAAAGCGGATTAAAATATCTGCTTCCATAAATTTCACTTATTAGACCCGGCATATCTACTAGTAGCACAGTCCTCACCACCTGATTAATGAAGGCACCAAGAGTCTGCATGCTTCATGGGAAAGTGCAGCAAGCCCCAGACATGCTCAAATCAAAGCATGAGATCTCTTCAGGGTGAAAAGACAAGTGACATCAGCTTACCAGAGATGACCCCTGATGCCATTGTTGCAGCAATTGGCGTCTGCCTCTTACTCACTTTTGCCAGAAACCTGAACAGTAAACCATCTCGTGCCATAGCAAATATAACTCTGGGTAAAGGGAACATGGACCCCAACAGGCTAAAAAAAGGAAGTCACAGTTCAAATNAAAAAATATACACACAACACATTCTAGTGCTACTTGTTCTAAATGGATACACATTTAGCAAATATAGAATGTCAAAGCCAGCAGTCAGGCCCTCAATCTCTAGCTTTGATTACATTAGCTTTTGCTCACAGAGGTGAGTGATGGTGGTGCCAGATAACAGGACACTGCATTCTGGGTGTCATAATGTAGCACTTCGAGGTCAGGTATAATGTGATTAGACGCAGAGTGAAGGCTCCTTTTACTCTGCTCCCAAAACGTACTTTGTTGTGAACCATTAAGCTATTTTAATGAAAATCATTAAGTGGAAAACATAAAGATTTGTATTTCTTTGTAATGGGCGGATTAACTTTACTGTGGATGGGCTGTCTCTCTGCATTAAGCTTAAAACTTCAGAAAGAGCTGGTTATGGACATAATTCTGAGGCATAACTTTATCATGGCAAGAGGCAATTTTCCATGCACAGAGCTCCAGCTCATCAACCATCAGCACTGAAACTTTTAAATGAGCAGTGACTTGCAGTTAAATTTCGATGAGAGAAAAATGTACAAAGATTTTTTAAAAAAAGCCAAAAGGATATCAGATGCTCGCTAACTTAGGTGATTTCAGAATGTATTGCATCCCCTACCACTATCCTTCAGATATGCCTTTTCAACAGGGTAGGTTACAAGAGGGCAGAAACATGAACTGCTATCTACTGAAACAAAAATGACAACCCTAGAGAAAGAATGCTGCTCTGCTAAGCTGTAACCAACTATTCTCCGACCAGCAATGTCAATTCAAAAATTAAGCACCTTTATGTTATTTTAGTTTGATACATTTGAAAAATACACTGAAAACGGTGTAATGCCAATACAAATTACGAATCAATTTTTAAAAATTAGACATAAATTGAATGCACTGACTTATCTGTCATTTTCATTCAACATTTGCTCATATATATATACATAAAAAAATATATACCGCACAATTCCTCAATTTCCTTCTTCCTCCGCTCAACAAAATCTCACCTGCAACCATACCCGATGACATTGTAGCCACAACTGGAGTCTTCGTCTTAGGGTTGATGACGGCTAAACCTTTGAAAAGCAACCCATCTTCTGCCATAGCATAGATTACGCGAGGCATTGGGAAAATGGAACCAAGCAGACTGAATGAAGAGGAGAGACATGCACACGTTGCGAATCAGAGACACAGCAATGGATGCAGTAAATTAATGAAAATGAAACACTGCGCTGCAGACTCCACATAAATTCCCATATTTCTCCTTGTCCTGTAGGAAAAGTTGCTGTTGTAATTCAATTCGTTCCACTTTTCTCTTCTGTCCTCCTCCAAAAATTCAAAATAATATCAAAAATGTTACAGTACAGAAACAGACCATTCAACCCACCTTGTCTGGGTCGGTCTTACACCCACTTAGGAAAAGTAAAATCGTTCCTTAAATGATACATTATTATCTACAGCCCCATGTGCTTCATATAAGACAATAATTGATAACCCACCCCACCCCTCCAATTTTTGTACACCAAATTTGCTGCTGCTCCTGTATAAACTGAGAAAAGAGTTGTTTGAGAGGTCGCTTTGCCAAATCTCCATTCTAACGACAAACATGGCCTGACCTCTATGTGACGCCTCCCTCTCCTGTTCTGACCTTTCCAGTCTTGGCCTTCTACACTGCTTCAGTGGCATGCTTTCTTGGGTATTCCTCAGCTGGAAGAGCTTCATAGTAACTCCTTCAAACTGAGTTAGACAGTGGTGGTAGGCCTGCAAGGTGGGCAAGCTGGTCTATAAAGAGGGCTGGAAGATATTCTCTAGATATAGAGTTTGTCCTGGGATCACTGTTATCTTTTGTGCTAGTGTGGTCTAAGGTAATTCTCCTTTGAGCTTTGCACAGAAGACCACACTAGTACAAGAGATAACAGCGATCCCAGGGCAATTCTATATCTGATACTTGCTTCCTAAACTTCCCCTCCTCTATCCCTCCCCCCACCTCCTGTGTCACATCAATAGTCATACAGTCATTAGACAGATTAATGAGACGAGACTAATGGGAAATTTCCACAATTTGTTCACCCATCAAGGATGACAGAATTTAGTCGTCTACATGCACATGCACTGGACAAGCAATGAGGAAGTGAATGTCGAGTCTTGCAATAAAATCACACAAAATATGACTTGAAGTTGAAGCTCCACAATCATCATTTAGAAGTAGAATCAGAAATATGCATTGATATTTTGGCGAACCCAGAAATTCTGGAAACCAATTTTCTTCTCTGGGTTAATAAATTATATAAATTTGACATTTCCATGATAAAATCACATAAATATTACTCTTGTTGGGTTTTCCCAATGCTGTAATATACATTCCATTGATACAATATTTTGTTTCAATGATGAATGTGTTGTCACATTCATCATTGAAACATTCATCATTAAAATGTGAATGATTAAAATCCAGTTTTTACTTTAAAGCAACTTGTCGAAACCTGTGCAACTCAGATTCAGTATGATGCTTTAAAGTAAAAACTGGATTTTAATCATTTACATTTTAATTGTTTTGCTTTCTGCACAACTAATACATCAATAAAATGTTCTCTTCTCTGGCAATTGTCTCCCTTCCCGATCTCCACTTCTGAAGGTGTTTAAGATGCCTTTCTCCCACTTTCTATTGAAATACAGTTCCACATACGACCTTTATCTTCTGGTACATCAGAAACATAGAAGGTCATTCAGTGTACCAACTCCACTCCTTCTACTGTCCACACATGATTGCCCTAAAATAGACTGTCACCCTTCATTTTATCTCCAACTGAATTACCTGTTACTAAGCGGGGCTTAATGAAATTCAACCATCAAAACCTTTCAACTGCCTCCCACTAGCTTTAACACCATAGACTACCATGTCCACTGATTATGTAGATCTGTGTGTCTATTAATACCCTAAATGCTTGTATGTTTTCCTGCACACCATCAGACTCAGTAACTTTGCTAATCAGGTCACCAGTACTCACTGTTTAAACAAAATATGGTTAAAGATGTAGATATAATAGTTAAAACCATAAATCTAGGCTCGTTATAATTTTTTGCAACTGATTTTGAAAACATCAACACTTATATAGCGCTCTCCATGCATGGTAGCATCTCAGAGCAAAATGTTGCTCATTCAATTAAATCTTTAAAGTTCTGCACTACTTCTGCAGACCACACAAAGAGAAACTGAGTTTAATGTCTAATCACTCAGAGAATATGATCAATGTTTAAATAAAAAAAAGAGAAGCACTTTTTGCTAGTAATTACTTGAGCTGCATTTTGTGTGGTTCAAAGCTCTTCTTCAATGCAATTTCAAAGCTGTTGAGCACACATTGTATTGATCACTGGTTTTAAACGAAGCATCGTCTCATTTGTAAAGGGGTAAGATCAAGGGGGAGAAATTCCACTTGGGTCTAGATTTACTTTGCTTATATAATAATAATAATCCTTGCATTTGAAATAGCGTCTTATCACGTCTTTGAGACGTCTCAAAGCACTTCACAGAATATACTGTAAAGTGAATTGACTGTGTGTCTTGTGGGTGAAACGCAGCAGCCAATTGCATACAGCAGTGTCCCCAAACAATCGTGATTGAAGTGACCAATATTTTTTTGAAGGAATTATTACCCCTGGAAAAGCAATCCGTCAATCGACTAAAAAACGGGTCCTACTTACTGCTAGGTAAGCAGAAGCGTATGGAGGAAGGAAACTTGCCCAACATTTCGCCCTGCTGGGAATTGAACCCAGGTCCCTCACTTATGAGGCGAGTGCTCTAATTTTATGTAGCATTTTAGAGTCCAGAATTTGGAAAATTGGTGAAGTCAGTCTTAATGTTGCGGTATATTTCTTGTAGTTCTTAAAACAAATATACAGAAAATTGGCTTCAAATTTAAGAGCATATTTAAGAATTTGCCAATCATGTATGCTCTAAAATGCTGAATACTCAATAAATTGAGCAAAAATCCAAGCCCAGGTTGAATTTGTCTCTGAAAGTTTTTTCATGCACAGAGTAGCACCAATAATTACAAGACAAAGAGGTCTTTGGATATTAAGCAAAGCTAGCATCCCAACTGATTCTGAAATATTAGTCTGATAAGCAAATGTGAGAAAATATCACAAGGCATTAAATTACTGAATCACTGCAGTGCAAAACCAGCAACTGGGGAGAAATAAATTGAGGTGATTCTTGTCCCTTACCAGTTTAGAGCAAAAGAACAATTCTTTACAAGAAAATGGATGACAAACTGTAATAATGACACAACTGTAACATAATAACAGTAATGTAACTGTAAAATAATATAAAATATGGATAATAAAATTTTTATTACATTTCAATGTCTAGGTTGCAAGATTTGCTTCCACACTTCAACAGAGCCCTTCTCGTCTTTCAGAGAGGCGAGAATCAACTCTTGCCTTGAGAAGGTTTGTTATTTTGTCATCAGTACATGTTTTGCACATTCAAACTATTTTGCAAGCGTTAGTTACTTTGCAATGTGTAGATCATCATCTAAAATGTATTAAATGAACTGAACTCGATTTACAAAAAGTAAAATATTTGCTTTAAATTATTGTGTTCCTTCTGTGTGATACGTAGGGACTGTGTATTACTGATGCTGTTGGGCTAATTGATGATGATATGCAAGGCTGCTTCTCATCGGAGATATGGAATATCATGCACAAAAATGTCATTCCAGTAGAATAAGGGCTGGGCCTGGTGCAGTTTACAAACAAACTATCTTCATGGCTGGTGTCTCTTTGAATCATTATAAAGGCTTTTCTTTGAATTATATGCATGCAGGCTCATTCTTGACCATCAATAGACATCTAGTGGAATGCGTTACACCAGATATTTTGTGTACAACCGCAGGTCAATGATAGTAACACCCAATGTTTTCCTCTTAATCCTCTATTGGCCAATAACTATCATTGTTAAAATGCACAAGGTAACAATCCATCTTGCTCTACTGCAGTAGATGTGAAAATTGAGCTCAGCATTAGCAATGCAAAGTGTTGCTGATCTTATAACTTGAAGGTTTCAATATACACAAAAATCTCTTATTGGGTAAATATCATTTTCCCACTTCCAACGAGTCTCCAAATAAAACGCAGTATTTGACGTACTTCAATGTTATTACAAGGACATTCTTATTCAACAAATAAAATATAGATATATAATGCTGACAATGTATAGCAAAAGCTAAACCTATAATGCAGAATGGGCTTAACACACATTTCTCATAAATACTTCACTGTATTGTGTATAGCAAACAAAATCAAAACATTGTTACCTATATCGTTTGCATATTCATTATAACAGAGGTTATACTATTTCATGAGCAAAAACTACAGACAATGAATGAGAGAAGGAAATCTAGTTAACAATATTTTTGAGGCTCAGTACTATTTATTTGGAATAAAAAGTGCATCTGACAGGGTCCCATGATGGCTAAATGGGTCAGTCTACCATATGGTGCCACATAATCTAGAAAAACTCCAAATTCAATCCCTATCTTCTGCAGAGGTAAGTGATTTCAAGCAGAAGCAGAGGTGTGTTGCAATTGTCTCAGTGTTTGCAGGACAATGATGGAAAGGGAAAATGAAAGTCTTAAAATTAAGGCTCACATTCCAAATCCTAAATTATGCAAATGAAAACAGATAATACTACTCCTAATAATAATCTTCACATTTGGTATGTGAATCGCCTTTCATTTTGGGAGGACGTGGCAAAGTGCTTCACAGGATATACTGTAAAGCATAGTGACTGTGTGTTTTGTGGGGACATGTAGCAGTCAATTTGCTCACAGCAATGTTCCACAAACAGTCATCGGGTAAGTGATAAATTTTATTGGAGATTATTGACCAGCACAGAGGAAGAAACTCTCATTGCTTTTTGAATAATGCCATGGAACCTTTAACATTCACCTGAACAGACAGACAGTTTAATGTCTCATTCAAATGATGGCACCTCCAACAATGCGACAGACCCACAGCACTTCATTGGATTATCAGTCCAGACTATATGAATTCAAAATCTTGATGTGGGGCTTGAACCATAGATTTCTGACTCAGAGGAGAGAGTGCTACCAACTGAGGCAGATTAACACACACCCGGGAGCATAGCCTGAGATTGAACTGGGAATCTTGCTTATCTTCATGCTGGGCAGTAGATTTATCAATAGAGATAGAAAGGCAGAAACTATTTGCTCAATGCTGATGCTCATAATAAAAATCTCAACCATGTCTCTCGATACCAACAATCCAGCTTTTCTCATGTAATGTCATTGGGATCCTGGGACTTCATATTATTTTAGATGGGCAGAGAGAGATTTCTGAATTTAATCCATGGGAAGTTTTATCTGTTATTATATGATTCCCCTAGGAGATTCAGTAAGTTAAATATGGGAATGCAATTTCACATGGTTGTGTGGAAGGAGCAGACTCCAAGGTCCGAAATGGCCAGACTTACAGTAAACTTTTTTTTAACGAATTCTTCAGCCACTTTGATATCCTGTAAATAGATATGTTATACAGTACCAGCTGCTTACATTAGTTTTTCAAGAATGTAGTGTGGGGACCAGATGTATGGAGGAGAGAACTAAATTTAAGCTACTGTTATATTAAAACTCAGCAAAACATGCTTTACAAAAGGTCATTTTAAAAGAAGACTAAATCATTTCATACCTTGTTGATAGAGCACAGAGAGATCCCACAGCCACTGCATACTTAGCAGGACCCCAGCCCACATATACAAAGGCAACAGGGAGAGGGCTTCTTTCATCCAGGAGATAGTAAGGCATCATGAGGGTCAGGGCTGCCGAGACTCCAAAGTAAGCCACAAAGCAAACCAAAAGGGAAGTCACGATTCCTATTGGAATAGCCTTTTGAGGATTTTGCACTTCTTCGCCTAGAAGAGAAGTAAAACGGTATGAGTGCTTGCTTATGAAGACTTTGCATGTTATGAGGCTATTTTAATTGGGTAAATTTGGAAATAGTGTGAATGATTGAATAGGAAAATATTGACAGACCAGAGAAGTGGTAGGACAAGTAACAGATACAATTAATCAATGTCTACACTTTTCTAGTTCTCACCTGTAGTAGCAATACAATCAAACCCAACAAAGGCATAGAAGCAGGTTGCAGCACCAGCTAACATTCCAGATAGCCCATACGGTGTAAAACCACCTACACCGTAAGCACTAGTAACATTTACTGAAGACGACAGGTTCCTACAAAATAGAAGGGAAAAAAGTACATTATATTTATAGAACATACAAGAGTTCACGTGATCTCTGGAGCAGGAAGTAAACATAGTTTTATGGTATTTAGGTAATTTTAGTTGCCAACCAAGGATAAGGCATAAAAAGAATTTTAATTATTTCAATAATTTGAGAGCATAACAGCTCACCTTCCCTCTACCCCTCTTTATGACCATTACCACATCACCTGGGTCCCAAACACACCTTTTTTTCTCTCTGGTCTGCCTTTTTTGTTGCAATTCCCCAATTTGTTTGTATCATTAACACCGCTTCAACCCATCATCCCCTGTCCTCTAACCAATTTTCTACTTTGTCTTTCTTGCCCTACCTCTCACCTCTCTGTTAGCTCTTAAAAGCCTCTCCCTTCCAACTTGTCCTAGTTCTGACGAAGGGTCGTGGACCCGAAACATTGACTCACTTTCCTTTCTCCATAGATGCTGCCTGACCTGCTGAGTGTTCCCAGCGACTTCTGTTTTAGTAAACAATTTTAATGAATGGATTATCAAAATATGGTGTAGCATTAAGTAATCTACATTATATTTGGCTGATTTTATTTTTTAAAAGAATAACCATTAGGTAATTTTCTACTGTTTGTTAATGAATATTGCAAGCTCACATCAATCAGGTTAGGCAAATGTCACACAGCAGATGTTTTGGTGAAAATTTCTACTTCTGTTGTCCATATCTCCACATATCATACTATTACATCTATTTCCAATGTGTTTGATTTCAGGTGTTGAATATGTTTCAGCATCATTTGAGCTGCACTGAGTGCTTTATAGAAAGCAGTTCTAAACTCTCCTGCTATGGCACACACGGCCATAAACAATTATAGCACAATCAAAGATCTTTCAGTTCACTGTGTCTGTGCTGGCTCCTTGAAAGAGCAATCGATTCAGCCTTATTTACCTTCCTTTTGTCATACCTCTGCAGATTGTTCCTTTTTAGATATTTATCTAGAGGTGAAGTTAAAATAGACCCTGTCTCAACCATCACTCCCAGAAGGGCATTCCGCCATCTTAATAACTTTACTAAAAAAAATCCCTCTATTCTCCCACTTTGCTCCTTGTTAGCTTAAATTGATGCCCCCAGTCATTGACTCACCAAATTGTGAAATAATTTCTCTCTACCGACTCTAACAAAAACCCATCATAGTTTTAAAGGCTTGTATCAGGTTTCCTCTCAATCTTCTCTGTTCCAAAGAAAATAGGCCCAGTACCTCCAATTTCTGCTAATAGGTCAAACCACTCATCTCTGGTATCATCCCAGCAAATGACTTCTGCACCATCTCTAGGGCTCTGATGATCTTCCTAAATTGGGGTGACCAAAACTGGACACAATATTCTAAGTTTGATCTAGCATGATTCTTACACGTTATGCATTACCTATTTGGTTTTATATTCTGTGCACCTATTTATAAAATCTAGCATCACATTAGCTTTCTTCACAGCTTTACACATTCAGTTTCAGTCAGATAAAACTTCTTGATGGACATTTTATACCTCATTCATTACAATGGCATTAAACACTCAACAAAATAAAACAGTTTTGCCTATGAATAAATATGTGTTTCACCACATTGAACCATATCGATCTTGGATTCCTAGTAGTCATTGACCTTTAAATTACATAAGTAAAGCCTGAAAAGTAAGGGACAAATTGATATAAATGGTCAATGACGAACTACTTTGCGATTGCAAGCCAGAAATCAGGACAATTTTGTTTAATTCTATTCACTGCTTTTTCTTGCAGAGCAGCTGTTTTTGTACAACTTACTTTGTGATAACTGTGACGTTTATGAGTGACTCCTCGCTGATCTTCCAGTTCTTTGAATCTCCTTTCACAAAGCCCGCAATAATAACAAATACAAGAACGAGGATGTTGATAGCAGTGAATATTTTATTGACCCAAGCAGATTCTTTCACACCAAAAGACAAAAGACCTAAAAACACACACAAATTGTTGAAGGCAACAATGTTGAAATTTGCGTTTTGACAACTAAAAAGACTTGATCAACAGAAACAATACAGTAAATGCAAATTACATTATACCCACGCTATTCTCCTAGGGAGAGAGATAAGCAAGGTCTACTTGGAGCTGAACTGCTTTCAAGTTGACATGTTTAGCAACAAAATGTTGAATCGAGCCAAACCTCTGTACGGGCTCGGTAGTCTAGTTCCTGTGGCAGGAAGGTCCACGTGATTACAGGGCAATACTGATGTCAGACTATCATCAAAACTTGGAATGGAAGACCAGTCACTGAGGCCAGGGACTCTTCCCATTCAGCTCCTGTTAACCCTGAAAGCCAAAGCCCTAAAGGGTAGGGGTGTCCTAGCTGAACAAGCAGTTAAAAATCACGCCAGGCAATCCTCTCAATAGTAAGCTATATGGTTTTAGCAGGTTAGACTCAAAAGTACCCCAATGCACAATCTGGAATCCCCAAATCTTGGCTCTTGCCAACCTGTGTCTAATAGTTTCCAGTATTAGATAAGCAGGATGCGTTCCTACAGGGAGAGGGTGCGAATTCCATTCCAATAAACATCTCTGGAATTTCCTTGTGTAGATGGGATGCATGGAAATCTCAGTTTGGTTTGCATACTCTTAAGCATGGTGATGGTTTTTCACCTGTGTCCGACATCCAGCTGACCAAAACAAATCTCACACAAATTAAGCCATTCATTTAAATCTCAATTCACTGACATTTAAAAATATTTATATTTAACATCTCATTTATCGGTCCTATTTATACAGATGTGAATGCACTAATAAATAATCCTTCATTTAATATAGCATCTTTCACGTCAGGAGGACTTGTCAAAGCACTTCATTGGATTTTCCGTGAATTGTTGTGACTGATTGGGTTCTTGCTCTTACGTGCCATAGAGTGACTGTGTATTTATAGGCAAACACTTACAATTCGCAAAACTGTTATAACCATCTGCAATATCAGTTTATACTAAAAGGTAAGGTGCACACCAATTTCAGAGCAGACAGACTAGACATATTCGCCTCAGCTAGCATTTGAAACTTTGCAAAGCTCACTGCACACATACCAGGCAAGTGAAGCTGAACAAGAAACATTCAGAAGTGAGGCACTAATTGGACACATATCTGGAAAACATCTGTTTCTATAGCTGTGAGATTAGAGTGATTTTCATTTTTATTCAATGAACTGATCTTTTAAAATATAAATGGTTATTTGATGGTTCCGTGGGTTTAATCCAGCTGAACCATGCAAGCTGATTGACTTCAGTGCCTGGTTTGGAAGAGGTGGTGGACGGGGAGACGATAGAGAAAAACAGACTTGGTTCCTGGTCTTAATTGCAATCGAGTAACCTGTGCAAGCAATATGAGATGCAAGTGGCTGAACGTCAGGCAAGGACACATTTAGGCTTGGTTCCAATGCCTCCTAAATGATCTAACTATATTCCAAATCAACCTTCACACATAAATAACGGCTAGTTGAGAAGGTTTTAGAATGTGCCTATTCACCTATAACAGGGTAGGATGCCCAGTTGAAGGGAAAAATAGGATATGATAAAGACATAATATCCTGTTTGGCAAGTTTCTGTATGAAATGTCTTTTACAACAACAAATAAAGAAGCATAGACTGTTATTTTTAAATTTAATCCCAAAATTTCAGTTTCAATAAGACTTCTATGACAGTTTTGTAACCATCAACAACCTTATCTTGTAACTGAGAAGCAAGACATTTCTCTCACTCCACAAGGGTAATCCCTTTTCAATCTTAGATCCACGTTTCTTAAATCACGGTTTACTCTTGTCTTACCTGCCAGTAATAATATAAGACAGACTGCAAAGAAGTCCGGGTATTCTGCTAATCCTGGTGAGTTCATCTTGAGATACTTGCTGAAGAAGACTCCTATCTGTTTGCCAAGAAGTTCATCAAAGGTGCCGCTCCATGCTCTGGCAACACTTGAAGTACCTTTGTACAAAAATGAGTTAAAGAGCAAAATTGCAATGCAAGAGAGTGAGAAATGTGTGCACAGGTAGTCACATGATATTCAGAGACAATCACAATAATTTAAATCATGGTTTCTTTCCTAGACATTCTTACATATTTAATATCATATATTTCATGAATAACACTTATTAAGTAAATATCAAAAGGCTTGCCAGTTAGATTTCCAATCTACTTTCCCTCCCAGAGTCACTCCTCCCTGCCCATTCATAGAATCACAGAATCTTACACCCAGGAAGGAGGCCATTCAGCCCTGTGCCTGTGATGGCTCTTTGAAAGAGCTACCAATTAGTCCCACTCCCCTGCTCTTTCCCCATATCCTTGCATTTTCTTTTTAATTGTATACTCTTTTGAAAATTCTTATTGAATCTGCTTCCACCACCCCTTCAGGCAGTGCATTCCAGATCATAACAACTCGCTGCGTAAATTTGTTTTTCCTTGTCTCCCCTCTGGTTCTTTTTCCAATTACCTTGAATCTGTGACCTCTGGCTAATGACCCACCCACCAGTGGAAACAGTTTCTTCTTATTTACTCTATCAAATTTTGAATATCACTATTAAATCTCCCCATTCACATCTATATCAGCTGATACTGGTCACCTTATTCACCAGCATCCCAAAGAACAACTCACAGAACAAACTCAAAGGTAACAGTAAGGATATTAGCAACTTCCTTTATATAATTAAATATGTGTGCTCTTTTTAGAAGAATACACTTAAGTTTTAAAAGGCCTGCAAAGTATTTTACAAACAAAAACAAGCTCCTTTTATGAACTTAAAATACTTTTATCACATTCTTTTAAAATATTTTCAACTACCATTATTGCTGTACATTTTGCAAACTTTAAAGCAAACGCAGCGAAAGCGCGATGAAGTTCTTTATCTAAATATCACTTACCAATGACGTAAGAAAGTATTAAGTTCCAGCCTGTAATGAACGCCCAGAATTCACCAACGGTCACATAACTGTACAGGTAGGCGGAACCAGTCTTCGGGACACGAGCGCCAAATTCAGCATAGCACAGACCTGCCATCACAGAGGCCAGGGCTGCTATCAGGAAGGAGATGATGATGCTGGGTCCAGAATCTGCTTTCGCGACTTCACCAGCCAGGACATACACCCCAGCCCCGAGAGTGCTTCCTATGCCCAATGCCATCAGGTCTACTGTGGTCAGGCAACGGCATAGCTTTGATTCATTGCTGCTGTCGTTGCTTATGATTTTTCTCCGAAACAGACAACGGGCGAAGGATAGCACTGGGCCACAACGAATCATTTTTGATGAAGATTGCTGAAGGAACAAGGGGAAATATTTAAGTGGAATAAACTAGAAGTAGTCCGTCTCTCCCGCCACCCACCCATATCTTTAATTTAATATTTCTTGTCAATCCTGAGAATTTTTTTTGAACATCTGAAGGAGAACATTTCTTTTACAAATTAACAGTTCCCTTTATCTTGTCATCATATACAGCACATATTAATATACATGTCAGGAGAATCAACAACTACACTTTACCTATTCATTTTAGAGATAGCACTTTGTACAATGCCGAGCTCTTTCCCACAGCTCCTGCAGGTTCTCAAACGCAGGTTGTTAATGGGTTTGTACATTTACGGAGCAGTACATTTTTGGAAGAAAGGAAATATGTGCTAAATGGTAAACTTCTTAACAATGGTGATGAACAGAAGATTCTAATGGTGCAGACACATAGATCTTTAAAGGTAAGAGTACAGGCAGGAAAGGCTACAAAAATGGGATATGTACGGGTCCGCTCAGCTCACTTGTTAGCACACTCCCCTCTGTGCCACACTTTGTAAGTTTTAGGATAAAAATAATATTGCCAATACATTAATGTGAACTGTTACAAGCTTTTTTGGGGGTCTGACAGATATGGAAATCCATCACTATGCTTAAGAGTATCCAGACCAAAGTTCTATGCATCCTACCTATCAAAAAAATTCCAAAGTTATCTATTGAACAAAATGTTCCCGCTCTCCCTGGAGGCTCTGGAACTCTATCCCCCAGTTCCTTCGCCGCCTCCTCCCTTTCCTCCTTCAAGGCCGGTCTCAAGACCTTTCTCTTTGACTGTGCCTTCAACTCCCCTCTCGACTCTCTACCCCCTCCTCGCTCCCTCCCTTCCCTCCCCTCACCTTGACCATTTCCCCCCTGCTCGGGTCCTGACCCAACTGTACAGCGCCTTGGGACGTCCTCCCGACGTGAAAGGCGCTCAATAAATGGAATCTTGTTGTTGTTGTTGAGGGGCACATCCTATTTACCTAATTCCAGAGAGCATTAGGTGCAGATTGACAAGAGCCAAGGCTTCAGGCGCCCAAAGTGTGCGTTGAGGTACTACTGGAGCCTAACTAGCTAAACTGCATAGCCTGTCATTGAGGGCACTGCCTGGCAAACTTTTCTACTACTTGTCCTGCTAGGACTACCCTACCCATTAGGGCTGTGGCTTACAGGGTTAACAGGAGCTGAATGGGAAGAATTCCTCCCCCCACCCCCGAGACCGGTCTGCCCTTCCAGGTCCTGCCGCTGTGCTGTCATCAACAGTGTTTTGGAGTACAGTGGACCCAGGTGCCAATTAATAATAATCCTTGCAATTCACCTCCAAACAGACCCTGCTTACCTACCTCCCACCCGCGTGCCCCAGGAGGATGTAAGCTCATAAGAGGCTCGCTAACAATTATGCACACAATGTTCTCAAAGTCAGCAAGAGCCATCAGGGAAAAGGCAGAAATGAAACCTAGGCAATTCCTTAGTTGTGAGAATAACAGTCTTATTACAATTAAGTCAGCTGAAACCTGCAAGGTTGAGCCTTAAGGAAATGGTGGAGAGGATATCAAATGCAACAAAACAAAAACACATTGATAGGAAATAAGCTGGAAGGGCATATTTAATGGACTGCAAGCACCTTTATGTCTCTTGTCCTCTCACAAAACCAATCGTCTTCCAAATGCTCCAGATAACTCATTCTCCCAATAAATTCAAAATACAGTCAATTTACTTTGCAATATATTCTGTGACGAGCTTTGAGACGTCTCAACAATGTGATAATGTGCTATATCAAATGCAAGGATTAGTGTTATTATTATGATAAATTCTTCACCAGCACATCTACAAAACAACTTGTGTTTCATAGTGCCCGTCAGGCAGCATAACACTTTGGAGTGTTGAAAAGTCAGTCAGAAATATTAACCAACAGATACATTTTACTAAGCTAAAGTTTGCCTGCCAAAATACACCATTCTCATATCAGACAACCTGTTTTGCTTTGCAATTCCTTTAGTAATTCCTTTTTATATCAGAAGCTAAAATAGACGAATAAAATGACATTCTACAGCGGCATGTTTAACTGCAGATTGATTAGGTTATGCAAGTAGATGCCAAGATTTTGTGCAGTTAAAACAAAACTAATTGGACAGGGATTTGTGAAAGCATTCTGTCTCACACTGAATTCTGGCATCAAGTTCAAACTTTGAATAAGAAAAGTTTCAAGTCAGAGAAAAATCACAGCTGCAAACAGTTCAACGGATTAAATGGCCCAGTTAAAAGAACGGAGAGCTGTCCATGGATTTCAAATGTATTCTAAATATTTATCTTTGGAAGTACAAATATGTGTTTTGCCTGTGTAATAGGGCAAGGTAGAGTAAGCAGACTGCAGAGGTAAACCGGAATTTGAGCAGTGTTCCCAATTTCATTGATAATTCAGTATTTGCATTGCAAAAAAATGTTTTTGAAACTTGATGCTTGTTGTTCCTTATGCTAAAAAGATGCAATATTTCCAATACAACATTAGAATGTTGAATTTGTATAAAACCTTAGTTTAAAATCATATTTGGAGTACTGTACCCAATTCTGGTCATCACGTTGCAAAAAGGATATAGAAGTGTAGGTTTACTAGGATGATGCCAGGGCTTTGAGGGTTACTATTACCAGGATAGACTGGATAGATTAATCCTTTATTTCACTAGAGACCAACAACTTGTATTTATATAACGCCTTTCATGCGGGTAGCATCTTAAAACACTTAACAGTGGTGTAGTCTGATGCTGTGCTAGATAGAGAGTGGAGGTGATCGAAAGCATGGTTGAAGAGGAAAGTCTTCAGAAGATGGCCAAAGAGGGGGCACGGCAGATCGATTGAGGTAAGGAGTTCCAGAGATTCAGGGTATAGTGGCTGAAAGCACGGCCACCAATTGTGGAGCAGAAGAGATGAGGGACGTGCAGTAAACCCAAACAAGGTACTGAAGGAAAATATGTACTTTGAGCAGATACCTAGTAAACTTATTGAAAAATGGAAAATTGTTCCAAATACATTGTTAATTCAGTAATCTCCTGATAACAAGACTCTGACTTAACTAGTCACTGACATTGATAGCCATGCTATCAATACCCAGCCATTTCCCATGCAAAGTGTTAATGATGCACTCCGCTTTACTTGTCACTGCACTTAACATATAACCACAATAGTCACATTCTAGAAATGCTTGTAAGTACTTCCAATATAAGAATGAATCAGATAACTAGTCTTATAAGATGGCATCTTGCCTCCTGCCTATCTTATCCTGGAGGTTGGGAGCACATGCTCAGATGCATCGCAGAAGCCTCTGGTCTATTGGAGGGTTGCGCCATAGATCCCACCCCACCTCCCACCCTATCCTGTCTAAGGCATGTCATTTATTTGTGTGTGTGTGTGTGTGTGTTTTAAGAAAGTTAATGTTTTAAAAAGTTTGCTTGAGGAAGTCAAAACATTCAAAGTACAATTATTAAAAAAGGTCAGTCCTACACAAAATTCAAATAGCCATTAATAAAACATTTGCCATGGTTCACCAATCTCTCTTGGAAAAAGGGTTTCAATATGTGACACCATACTATCTCTCTCTCTCTCTCCCCATGAACTTAAGTTTGATTCATAGATTATTTGAATATTAATTAGAAATTTGGACCACAGAAAGTCACTAAACAAGAGTTCCAACAACAACTTGCACTCACATAGCGCCCTCCACGCAGGGTAGGGTCTCAGAGCGTTTAAAATTGTAGTGTGCTGTGGGCATCAAGTACAGTCCTGTCAAATATTACCCAGCACAAACTACTGCAATGAAATACATCACTTTCTGAAAATAACATCTGTTTTCGTCATCTACCAGTTGACTGGTGGAACATTTCATTCGAAACTAATCTACCTTGGTAAAGAACCCCGAACAATGCAATCACAAGCTGATACAATTAAAGGTAATGAATAAGTGAACTCATATCATAATCTGTAAACAACATTCAGTTTAACTCCATTCAATACTGTCAAATCAGTGCATTTGAAAAATGTAATGTTACAGGCACAAACTGTGGAGTTAAAATAATCCTTACATTGATATAGTATCTTATCATGTTACTAAAATGTCTCAAAATATATCTCAGAAATTTTATTACGAAGGATATTCACTATTTATTTTGTGGGCGAATGTGGCAGACAATATACCCATCATAATGTCTCACAAACAGTCACAAGGTTAATGATCAATTTTATCTGAAGAATTGTTGACCAGGATACCAGGGAAAATACCCATCTCTTTTCAAATATTGTCATGGGATCTTTTAGGTCCATCTGAATAGGCAGATAATAGTAATCCTTGCATTTGAGCGCGTCACAGAATATACTGCAAAGTACATTTTGTGGGCAAAACTCCGCAGCCAATTGCACACAGCAGTGTCCCACAAACAGTCATGGATTGAGTGACCAAGTTATTATTTTTTTTGAAGGGATTATTACCCCCGGAAAAGCAATCCGCCTATTGACTAACATCCGGGTTCCTACTTGCGTGTGGAGTTGGGAAACTTGGCCAAATTTCGCCCTGGAACCTTGGTTTATATCTTATCTGATGAAACGCTCTGACAATGCGGCACATCCCCCAGCATTGCTTTGGAATGTCAGCCTAGATTATATGAGTTCAAAGTCCCAAAATGGGGTTGAGCCCACAATCTTCTGACGCAGAGGCGAGATTGCTACCAACTGAGCTAGGGTGACCTTGCGACCAATGACATATACACAGTATTAAAGTGCAACCAGTCACATTATGCCATCGATATTGAGGTTTTGTTTATTTGCTAGTTAATGCTGTTTCCATGTTCAAAGAAAACAGACGAGGTGGTAATCTGAGCATTCAAATGGAATTTCTATGGCTCTGCTTTCTGTCTTGACATTACAGCAAGATGCATAAAGCATTCCTGTAAACAGCCAAACGAAGATACACTGACAGATCAAACACAGTCATGCTCACTGGTGTGCAACACCAACTTGCAAAACTGAACTTATTTTCAGAAATGTTTGTGTATCTCAATGTTTCATCAAAAATAATAGAGTCCTGATCTGTGTTTGGGAGGGAGAATATTTACCTCCAATGTCGGGTGCACACTCTCAGTTTTTCTCCTTGCCTTCTCTGCTATTAAAGATATTGGCAGGAAGCCTACTTCCAGTCATGAGCAAATCTTTTTCTGTCCAGTCATTGGGGCGCAGGGACTCTTTTCACTCAGCTCTAGTTAACCTTGGCCAACAGGAGATGCACTACATGAATGTTATTTGACTTCCCAGTACAGTTAGACACCAAAGACTCCTTGACTCAGTTGAAAATGGGAACTGAGGAAATTAAATCTTTGCTCTCCCACTTCATGGTGCTGTGATTTATTTTGAGAGGTAAGTAAACATGCAATGTTTTGAGAGCCTTTCCTTGGACTTATTGGAAGAAAAACAAAATAAAATAAGAAGCCTGTAGACAAATGGAGAAATCACAAAAGAGCCAGAGGTTCCAATTACATTGTAATTCATTCAAAGCTTGATAGCTTAGAATCATTTCCCGAGCCTTGAGATAGGATTATATAATTTTAAACCCATTGTACAAAATCTATATAAAAAAAATAATAATTCTTGTATTTGATATATACCTTATCATGCCAGCAAAATGTCTCAAAGCACTTCATGGTTCATAATTTATGACTTCATGATTTACTTGGAACGTGTAGTGACTATGTATTTGTAGAGGTACGTAGCAGCCAAATTGTCCAGCTAGGACCACCCCACCCATTAGGACTTTGGCTTGCAGGGTTAACAGGAGCTGAGTGGGATGACACCTGCGCCCAGTGACTGGTCCTCCTTACCAGGTTCTGCCGGTGAGTCAGCTAGGCTGTGCTGACATCAGCAGTGTCCTGGAATAGTCACTGTCAGTAGCCACTTCAGCTCCAAGGAGACCCTGCTCAGCACCCCTCAAAGAGCATAGTCACTAGTTGGCCATCTAACAGGTATGGGTTTGAGTCCCCACTAGGTGGATGACAGGTACCAGGAGCTCCCTGTGAGCTTCTTGGTGGGCATTGGAATTGATATAGCACCTTTAATATCAGGAGGATATCTCCAACTGCTTCACAGGATTTACTATAATGTGCAGTGACAGTATTTTATATAGGTGAAAACAGAAGTCAATTTATGCACAGCAAAGTCCTATACACACACACAAAGTTAATGATTAGTTTTATCTGGGGATTGTTGGCCAGGACTATTCTCCCCTCTCTTTCGAATAGTGCCATGTGATTTTTAACGTCTCTTGAATAGGCAGACAAGCCCTCAGTTTAATGTCTCCTCATTACTATGTCATTAGTAAGAATTACTTTCATAAGCACCAACATGTTGGCGGAACAAATAGGTTCCCAATACACAGTGTTGGTAAATAGGAGTCACAAAGCTGCTTCCAGCAATCACAAACGCATCGACCCACTCTGCTCAGGAAGTAGATCAAGAGAAAGCAGAATTCCGATGAGTCAGAGAAGGATTGCCCATACCATTTACCGTAGGGAATCACTATTAGCATCTCCTGTTTGTGAATACTGCATTTGGTACCCAGATAGCAAAAAGGAAAACATAATGGCCTTTTATTTCAGATTTATCCACCTATCAAGCAAATTCAACGGGGCTTATTTGGGTTTAATTTACTCACTGTTTTCAGTTGCAGACAGGAGTAAAATCAATTTGCCTTTTTGTTGATTCTGCTCCTGTCTTCTGATTCTTCAAACAAGGCACTGAATGAACCATATCACATTAGCATTCGCAAAGTGAACATGGGAGTCAGTTTTCTGTTTTTATTGTGTGTGTAAAGCTACTGGGATTATCTAACCAGCTTGATAGCATCATTTAATATAGCCTTTGCCACTTTATCTGAAATTCTCAAAGATGAAAAAAATTTAGAAAATTACAAACCAAAAATATTAAACTTGCAGTTAGTTCACTGAAGATGTTCATATCAAGTGAATAAATTCATTTTATGAGAGCATCTATCCTCTCTGGTCTATCTGGACAAAGATTGGACATTGGTTAAAAGGCAATAGTTTTGAAGCCTTCACAAATACTGTTTTGAAGACAATACTTTTGAGGTGTGTGCCCAGTGGTAACCCAGAGACAAGCTCTTTCTTCATTTTTTCTATCCTCATGGAGAAGCAGCAGCGTCTGCTCAGTACTTCCTCATGGAGCTAATTATCAGGTCCTTATCTATTTACTGACTTTTTTAAAAGCGACAAAAAGGGGAATTGTTAAAAGGTGGAAAAGCAGAGAGACTTAAGGGCTCATGTGTACAAATATTAATGGTGGGAGGACAAGTTGAAAAAGCTATATGAAAAAAACAGCACAAATTAAATCCTAGGTTTTGTAAATATAGGCATGAATAATACGGTAAAGGGATGATGCTGAACATGTCAAATTATTAGTTAGGCTGCAGATGGAGTACCGTGTTCAGTTTTGGACACTACACAATATGATTAATGTTAAGGCCTTAGGGAGGGTGCAGAGGAGATTCACTACAATTACACCAGGGATGAGAAGTTTTTATTTATGAGGAGAGACTGTAAGAACTACAACTGTTTTTCCTGGGACCTGACAGAGGCTTTAATATTATGGAGGGATTTTCATAAAGTAAACAGGAGAAACTATTTCCACTGGATAGCGAATCAGTAACTGGAGAGCCTAGATTTAAGATTTCTTCAAAGGGAAAGGTAGAAAACTTTTCTTTCTGTAGACAAGAGGATTGTTAGGACATGGAATGCCTTATTTAGGAGGCGGTGCAGGCAGAAGGGATATTAGCTTTTAATTAAACATTCAAAAAGAAGAAATATAAAAGGGTGTGGAGCAGAAATGGGATAACGGAATTGCGAAAAATAATGACAATCCTTGCATTTGATATAGAGCCTTATCACGTCGGCTTCAAGACATCTCAAAGTGCTTCACAGGCTACAAAGTAAAGTTAATTGACTGTATATTTTGTAGGTGAAATAGATAGTTCTTTTAGAGAGTGAGTAGAGGAATGATGGATTGAATGAGCGTTCTTCTGTGCTGTAAATTTCTATGCTTCTATTTGTAATAGTTGACTGGTTCAGATAAACTCTTACTTCATAGAATCATAGAATTACACAGAATAGAAGGAGGCCATCGTGTCTGTGCCGGTTCTTTGAAAAGAGTTAACCAATTCAATCCCATTCCCCCACTCTCTCCCCATAGCTCTGCAAACTTGTCCTCCCCAAATAATTATCTACTTCTCTCTTAAAAGTTGTTATTGAATTGGCTTCCACCACCCTTTCAGGCATAGAATCTTACTTGAATCCTAAACTGGAGCAAACCCCATAAAATATGTAATTGTGCAATCGGCAGTAAATCTCTTTGGTACAGTATAACATAACCATCTAAAAATGATCAAAATATGGATACAGTAATTCATACATTATACTATACATTTGTGAAGTTTGTTCTAAAATTAAAAATCATAAGCTAAAACTACAAACAGAAATCTGGTTAATTAGTCTCATTTTAAATCAAATACAGGAAAAATAAACTAAATATAAAAGATATGAATATTACTTACCAAAGTAAATTAGGGAAGTTATACAGACCAGATTATTTATTTGAGCCACAAAAAGGGTTAAAAAATGTCCAGATTATTCTCAAAATGCTTAGAAACACTTTAGAAGCAACAAGCCTTTTTTTTCTTTTGAGGTTATGTGCTACTGCAATATTCCAGGCCTCAGGACAAACACAAACAACACAAAGCACTAGGGAAGGGAGCATTCAACAACAAACTGGACTATGGAGCTCATAGTCTAAAGAACTTGGCTGAGCAAGGTCCTCAATATTATACTCCAGCATTTTCTGCTGACCCACAGGACTGGCTGGATATTTTTATCCATTTTAGCCAGCTGGCTGCAATGTACTTGCCATCTGCCTGCACACCACTAACCAATTGAAAACGAGTTCACAGGTAGAGCTGTATAGTATCAACTTGAAATAATCTTGAAGGCCTTGCACACTCACAACGGTGTCACATTTGTTTCTCATGCAATAGATTTCAATCACACAAAGGTATTGAACTGAATTTAGGTATGAATTTACGTTGACACATCAGGTAGAGGAATCAAGAAAAACAAATATGCAGCTAATACTTAGTTAACACCACAAGCTACAAGTGGTTTTAAGACAAATGCTGTTCCATATGTTAAGAAGTATTAATTCTTACTTTCCTTCTATAACTGATGGCTTCTCCTCTCACCCTCACAGTTATCATCCCAAGGCTCTATTCTCGGCTCCCTCCTTTTTCTCATTTACGTGCTCCCTCTCAGCAATATCATTCACAGACGTAGAGTCAGCTTTCACATCCATGTGAATGACACCTAAGTCTACTTTTTCTCCTCTAGCCAACTCTAACCCCAGGTCGAATGATGTTCTGTCTGCCTGCTTGTCAGACATCAAGGGCTGGACGAGCACCAACTTTCTAAAGCAGCATGGACAAAATGGATGCCATCCTCCTTAGTCTTATCATATCTTCTCACCTGTTCCTCTGCCTTCCTTAACCTCCTCGGCCTATCCCTCAGACTCATTGAACCTGTGCGGAACCTGGACATCTGGTTCAATCCCCAGTTATCCTTTCTACCCCGCATCTAGTCCCTGACCACATTCTGACCATTCCTCACACCTAATGCAGCTCAACTATGCATTAGTCTTCAAATTAAGGTTGAATCAAATTTTGGACCTCTGATGTTATGCCTGAGACTTGGCAATAAGCCAGTTACATTTTTATGGAGAACGTGGAGGACCAGATACTGTATAATATTTCTTCAATTTGATACAGTACCTTTCACATCAGGAGAACATCTCAAAGTGCTTCTACAGCATATACTGTAAAGTGTAGTGTGTGTATTTTGTAGGCAAACGTGGTGCCCAAACAGCCATGAAATGCAGTGAATGACCAATTTTGAAAACTGGAGGAATCAATTTTCTTTTCGAATAGCACAATGGGATCTTTAAAATCCACCTGAAGAGGCAGACGACACCTTAATTTAACATCTGAAGGACAGTATCTTCAACAATGCAGCATTGCTCAGCATAGTAGAGACTATATGAGTTTTGAAGTCCTGATGTGGGGCTTACCCCCACATCATTCTGACTCAGAGGCAAGAATGCTGCCAACCGAGCCAGGTTGACCCAATCTGCTCCTGTAGGAGGAACATATGGTGAGTGGTTTGATGCTCCTGGATCAGGTGTGCCCTAGCCTGCAATAGAATATGTATGAAGTGGTTATAAACAAAACTCTTACGCTCAAAAATGGGTGGCATGGCAACACAAAGTGCTCACAGTACTTGCGATATTTGCGATCACTTTAGCTATTACTAACACGTTTCACCACTTTATTTGCAATGCTTGGTTTACTTGTGAAAACACATTCATAAGACACCCACTTATTTCTGGCTGACGATAGTGTTCTATATATATATATATAGTCCTCATTCAGTGTAAATGTGTTGACTCCACTTGGAGATATTGCTAATTAGCTATTTAGTGCCAGATAGTGTCCTTCCATATTGAGGGACCAAAATGGCAAAGATAAAGTCCTTTATTATACTAATAGTTTCAAAATAATGAATAAAATATGAATGCCACACAATGCAGGAGGTCCAGTATCTGCATTAATTGGAACTAATGGTTGTGAAAAATAATGTGGTTATCATACCAACTCTCAAAATATGTTAGTGTTTTTACCTTCTCTTGTCAATACTCGAATCCATAAGATTGAGTAATTGCAGTATACAATATATATACAATATATGTACATACAGTATACAGTATACTGTGTATTGCATATCACTTATCACTGAGCCCTTGAAGAATTGACTAACTAGAACAGGTTTTTCACTACATGATTCAGTTCTCAAAGGTCTGCTGTTTAGATCATTGACCAATGAACACATATTCATAGAATATTACGGCACAGAAGGAGGCCATTCGGCCCATCGAGTCTGTGCCGGCTCTTTGACAGAGCAAGTCACTTTCACTAACCCCAATCACCAGCTTTCTCCTCATAACCCTGCAAACCCGTCTTCCCCAGATACCTATCCAGCTCTCTCTTAAAAGCTGTTATCGAATTGGACTTCACTACCCTTTCAGGCAGATCTTTCCAAATTCAAACAACTCGCTGAGTGAAAAAATTTCTTCTAACCTCCCTTCTGCTTCTTTTGGTAGATATCTTAAGACTGTGACCACTGGTCAGACACACCTACCAGCGGAAACAGCTTTGCCTTATCTAGCCTGTCGAAACCTTTCATGATCTTGAAGACCTGTATCAGGTCCCCGCGTAACCGCGTATGTATTTCTTATAAGTGCTGTATACTTCAGGGAAATTATTACATCTGACTTTCAGCAATGTGCATTTGTCACCAAAAAAGGTAGTGGAAGGGTTTATCTCTCCTATGGCCTGGCAAAACAAGAGTTTCTTCACTTCCACCCTTTAGCATAAACTGACTGCTCTGACTGTCCCAAAAACTCAAGAAGAATGACTTCTCTGCTGAGACAAGGTCCCACAAATGCAAAAGTCAAGATACAACAACAACAAGATTACATTGTATAGCGCCTTTCACGTCGGGAGGATGTCCCAAAGCGCTGAAATACAAACATCCATTGGGTTGCCTTGTCAAGAGGCAACTGCCTGGACTGTTTCTCTCTTAGACCTTATTTTTTATTCTTCCTTGTAGATTTTGATTGAGGGCGTAAATACATCTATTCCACATAATTAATTTATCTGCCTTTTCATGATTTGTGTGCAGTGGTAATAGTAATAATCCTTGCATTTGATATAGCACTTTTCATGTCTTCTAGACGTCTCAAAGCGCTTCACAAAATATATTGTAAAGTGAATTGACTGTATATTTGTGGGCAAAACGTAGCAGCCAATTGTGCACAGCAGTGTCCCACAAACAGTCGTGGACTAAGTGACCAAATTATTATTGTTTTTTTTCTTGAGGGATTATTATCCCCGGAAAAGTGATCCACCAATCAACTAACACCCAAGTTCCCACTTACTGCTAGCTAAACAGAGGCTTGAGAAGTAACAAAACGTGTCTAACATTTTGCCTTGCCAGAAATTGAACCGAGGTCTGTCGCTTGCGAGGTGAATGCTCTAACCACTGAGCTACAGGACCCCACAGAATACCCCAATAGAAAGCACATCCTTGCTTTCTGAATAGTCAAATTTTACAAACCTTATTGAACAATTAAAGCACTTTTAGGTATTTTTAAGGTGTTTTTGCTTTTTTCAGTGGTCAGATGATGGTCTAGAGGGATAATTTCAAATTTCCCACTGTTCAAATTTATAGGAGCGAATAAACCCCTCTATAGATTAACATTTGAAAATAATGATAATAATAATCCTTGCATTTGATATTGTGTGTTTCACATCAAAAGGATGTCTCAAAGTGTTCACAGGATATAACACAATACCAGGAAAGGTGATTAAAATAATGTGGCTCTGACGAATGTTTCGAATTCTTAGTTGGTAACAGTCTTGCCTCAAGGTTTTGAGGTCAAGCCGCACCTCGGGTCTTTGACCTCATATAGTCTAGGCTGACACTTCCATGCAATGGTAGGAGAGTGTTTAATTGTAAGAGCTACCATCCTTCAGATCAGATGTTAAACTGAGGTCCTACTTAGCTGTTCAGCTGGACGTTTAAAGGATCTCATGGCACTACTTGAAAAGAAAAGTGCCTTTCTCCCGGTGTCCTGACAATCCTTCAGATAAAATGAATCATATATTCATGGCTGTTTTCTGTGACATTGCAAATTGGTTGCCATTTTCGCCTACAAATACAAAGTCATACAATAATTCCTAGTGTTTTGAGTTTAAGAGGTCTCGAAGATGTGATAGGATGCTATATCAAATGCAAGGGCTATTATTATTATGAGTTTAGAAATTCAATGGCCACATGATTTGGTCGCATCCCCTGATGCACAACAAGGTCAAAACAGTCATTAAGTAATCATTTTCTCTGACATTTCCTGCAACTCCTACTTCTTATACAGCTCCTCAGAAAACAATACAATAAAAGAGCATTTTAAAAAATTCTGAACAAATATTTAAAATCACTTGACGTTCATTGAGACAGTCAGACAACGCAGAATACATTTTATGTCAACTGTTTATATGAATCGTCTCAGTGGAACTCAATGTCTACCAACATTGTCAAGTTTGTTCAGTTCATGCTTATTAAACAGAGGCCACCTCAACCCCAGAGAGCAGTCCATAAACCTTTGATCTATTGTCTAGTCCGAGACAGCCTTCTGTCAAAGCAAACAGGGCAAATATTGAGGATATTATATTGTCATTGTGCTTTATCAATAAAAGAGCACCGAGGATCTTTCAACATTCTTTCTCAGTTTGTTAAAATGTTCATCAATCTGAAAGCCGATATCCTCTGCCATAGTTACAAAGATCCAGATTGATGGGATAGTGAGACAAAGCTACATAAATGTAATGATCAGGGTTGTCACTTCAACAGTAAAAAAAACAAATAAACATTTGTGATGAAGAACCCAGGATAGAAGCCTCACACAATGCATTTCAAAGGGAAAAAAATAGCCAGATTTTCTAGTATGACAAAAAGAGAAAAACACTTGAAAGGGAACTCCATTCTACCAGGGCAACTTCACAACAACAACAACCTGCATTCACATAGGGCCCTTCACTGGGAAAGCGTTGCAGAGCACTTAAGAATGGTATAGTTTGACACCAAGCCAGGGGATGGAGGGAGGGAGAGAGAGAGAGAGAGAGAAGCAGAAGTGTTTATTCACTGCAGAAATCGTGTTGTGCATCAG